GGGCCAGAGAGTAGGTTCTAGGAACTTTCTGCCCAGGAGAAAATAAAAAAGAAGACCCCGCCAGAACCACGGCTATTTAATAGCAGCGTCCGTTTCCCTCATTTCCAGCTGCTTGCTGAGCCCTGTTTCTGCCCCCTCAACGGCTCGTCTCGCTCCTGCCCACTCGGTCCATTCCCAGTCCCGCATACTGGGGAGAAACGCGCGTCGTCTTCCCTTCCGTTTCCTCTTTCTGCCCGAGCCCATTAGTGGCGCCCACGCTGCTCTATTCCCCTTTCTAGCTGCCTTCGCCTCCAAAGAAGAGCGGAGAGTGCTCTGAGACCAGCTTCTCCGTGTTACTCCAGCACCTCGGCCCAAGCTATCTCCTGGGAAGAGAATGGCCTTTCTTTTGAGCAGATGGGGGTGGGTATGGACCCCTCGGGGCCAGGGCACACAACTGCCTGTGATGCACACATCCACAGGGTTGTTTCACGTGCATTCACGGACGTGACCTTCCCATGGCTCCTGTGCATGAGAAGGGCGGGAGGGAGCAGCGTGGGCGTGGGATGAAGGCGAGTGTGCCTGTCGCAGCAGCGACCCTGAGAAGCCAGAGTGGGGCTGTCGTCCCCCTCCTGCTGTGGACATGGATGTGGATGTGATCTGGCCAACAGCTGGCTCTCCCGTTTCCTGCCAACGCTGGTCACTGTTTCGTACTGGCCCTTGTCACGGGTGCCGTGTGCTGTGCCAGCGTAGTTTTGACCGGCCTGTCTAGTTCACAAACACACGGCTGAGTTTATATGCGAGCTGCCCCATGCCCACCCCCACTGTGTGACACACTGCTCCTCTGGGGTGTGCCCCGCCTGGTGGTCCCACGCCCCTCACCTGGGACTCTTCCAGCCTCTGCCACAGCCGTGCAGCTGAGCACGGTCCGCCAGGCTCACTCCCTTCTCCCTCCGCACCTCCTCACCCTCCTCGGGGCTCTCCTGCCCCTTCTCTCTCTGTCTGTGGTGTGGTTCTTGGCTGTCTCTGGGCCTTGCTGCTTCTGTGCGGTGGAGGACGTTTGCCCAGACTGGGTGACAGTGCTCTGGACTAGACGGTCACCGTGTCCTGCCACTTTGCTTTCTTCGGCCGTGCTGTCCCCATCCCATCCGCAGCCCCCGTCCTTGTTCTCTGTTGGCAGCCTGGAGAGTAGAGCTTTGAGTCACGGTGGCCACATGTCCTGCCTCGCCTCCCTGACTACCCCAGACCCCTGTTGCTGCTCCAGGATCCCTCCCCTCCTCATCCTGTGGTGCAGGGAATGGGCTCTCCACAGGGAGATGGCCCCAGCGCTGCCCACAGGATGCGCCTCTCTGGCGAGGCCCCTCCCCGCCTCTCCTGGGCCTGGCATCCAGCTGCTGTGTTTCTTGGCCCTTAGATGCTTCTCCTGTCCTGCTCCCCTTGCTCTCCCATCACGCCATTCCTGCTCCTCTTCAGGGGTGGCATCCACCATGTGCTGGGCAGCCTGGTACCTGTGCTCTGACCGGCCAGCCTGTCTGGGGCACGAACCCTCCCAGAACCCGGACCTGCCCTCTGCTGGACTGACACCCCTTCTCCCCGTTGGCGGCCCCCCAGAAGTACCCGGCTCCTGTGCCACGGGCTTCAGAGAGACATCTGCACGTCAGCAGCGTGGCTTCTACCTCAGCTCATTCTCATTTCAGAAAACCTCATTCACTCTTTTTAAAATGTTTCTGTCTAAATTCAGCAGTGACTTTATTTTCTACCACGTCTTTGGTGATGTTGAATCACTTCCAGACTTCAGCCACTTGTGCTTGCTGTGAAAAGTGTTTGTGGCAGTGGTTGAACCCCAAGATAGTGTTCGCGACCCTGGGGTGGGCGGTCAGCGGGGCCTTCCCACCCCGTTGCTGGGCCTGCTGCACGGTCTTCCCCTTTCTGGGACGCAAGGTTGCCTCGCTACGTTCCGGGGACAGGAAGGAAGCAGATACTTGTGGAAGGCTGGCTCGGCCACTGCCTCCCTGCAGCTCTGCTTACCAGCATGTCCCTGCGACCCTCGGCTCCCATCCACTCCTCACCTCTGCCCTGCAGGGACCCCGGGAAGGAAGGCAGAGTGCAAAACTTCCCCCAGCTGGAGTCTCGGTACTGCCCTGTGAATCCTGAGCTCAGAGATGAAGCCTTGAGAAAGCTCCCCCACAGTTGGGTCCGCAGACTTGGCGTTCTGTCCTCCCCGGGGTCCCGCCTCCCCCAGCATCTTGTCTGAGCAGGGGGCGCGTGTCTGAGCTGGGATTTCACCCCCTGTCAGCTTCTTCAGGCTGCTCTTCCCCGAGGACTCCAGTACCCTCAAGCGCCTTGCTGTGCCCCCCTGCTCTTCTGTTTATCCCCGTCTCTGCACCCCTCCTCCCCACCATTTTTATTGAGGTTAACCATGCTTTTCATGCACACATCACTCCAGTGCCATACCCTCCCCCACCCTTCCTCGCTTGAGAATTCAGCTCCTTGTGGTGTGGTGGGCCCAGCTCCTCATCCTGCAGTGCTGCTCCGTGCCCCCACAGGCCTGCAGCTCCCTTCCCCGGGGCTGACCCCACACAGTGCTCACTCCTCCCACAAGCAGCTGCTTAAGAACTCTGCAGCTCTCAAGGCTTGAGCTAACGCCCTGAGACAGAGATGAGTTTTTTTTTTCTTTCTTTTTTTCTTTAATTTTGGTTTTTGGGGACACACCAGTAATACTTGGAGGTGACTTGTGGCTCTGTGCCCAGTGGTGCTCAGGGGACCACGCAGTGGCAGGCATCGGGCCTGGGCCTCCTATTGCAAAACATGTGCTCTAGTCCTCTGAGCCATTTCCCCCACCCTCATTCTTATTTTTTAATAGAACAAAGGAGACATGCCAAGGGTATGAGCATGAGTTTCAGTGGTATTTCTTCTTTGTAGCAGTAAATGGGCTAGTTTTGTTTGGGTTTTCTTTCCTTTTGGCAGGGGGAAGTTGGGTCATACCCGCTGTCTCTGCATGGTTCTGCCGGGGGGGGGGGGGGGGGAGTCACTGTGCATGGGACTCGGGACTCCCGAGGTGGTGCTGGAGAGTGACTCTGGATTGCTGCTGCATGTAAGACAAGCACCTTCCCACTGCACAAGCTCTCTGGCCTCTCGACTAGGTCAAAACACTTCCTGTTTCAAAAGAAGCATGTTATCACGTGACCTACCTACCCAGGTGTCCACAGTCAAGGGCACAGGTGGAAATAGTACCCAGGGCTGACAACAGTTGGAGAAATCAGACCACTCCTCCATGGTTGGGGAGTCGTCACAGGGGACAGCCACCTAGGAAAAGGCTGGCAGTCCCTCGGGACAGAAAGTACAAAGTTCTCGTGTGACCCCCATGTTCCACTCCTCACAAAGACCATGAGCACACATCCACCCACAAACATATGAATGTTTGTACCCACATGTCATGGGCGGAGGTTGGAGGTGCCCACCTGATAAAAGGACAGGCCAGTTGAATGCATTTCCACCCTCTGAGCAGACTGCGACCCCACTTCCTTCTCGTTGGTGAACATGTCTTAGCAACACTGCCGTGGGGCTGCACAGGCCTGGTGTTCAGTGCTGAAGTGAGTGCTCGTGGGGTCTAGGGGCTGGGTGTGCTGTGCGCTGTGAGGTGGGTCCCTTTGCGGCTCCTGGACCAGAGCTGAGCATCCGTGAAAAGAGGCTGAAACAAGTTCAGATGCAGAAAGGACCCACAGCTGCTTTGTTAGTAAGACAGATGTGCCCTGGTGACTGGGCGAGGCAGCTCTGCCCTTGGCCTGCACTGTAACGTCAGCCCGAGGCAGTGCTCAGCGAGAGGCTTGCCAGAGTGCACTGGGAAAAGGAAACGGTGTGCAAAAGAACTGGGAGAAAGGACAGAAATAGGCTTTTGCTATCGCTGTGTGATCGTTCAGGCCTAACTGCTCAGTTATGTCAAGTCTCTGGAAAGTCGTGTTATAAACCGATACCACATCAATAAAAACCAAAGATCTTGATCAGTCCTTTGGAAAGTTACATACTTTCAAGCTTCCAGACGAGGAATGTTAGTCGCCTCGTTTGGAAGTTGTGCAGGCTGGGTAAACGTCTTATTGCTGTGGGCATGTCTGGCTTCTCTGTGTGCTTTCAGACCAGTTGTCATTCACTCCCTCACTGTCCCCAAGGCTAGTAAGTCTTTGCGTTAACACGGAGAGTGCACATTTATCGTTGCTGTCATGGGGGTTCAAAACTAACAGAATTTTTCCGTTTGGCTTATTTTTGGGGCCACACCCGGTGCTGCTCAGGAGCAGTGTGTGGGGTCCAGATCAGTGTTTGGGGTCCCTGCTGAAGGCGCGTGTGGTGCTAGGATTGGGCAGCGCTGTGGCCATCTTGCAGCCCACACGCAGGGCTCCAAACCAGAGGCCCAACTGGCATTTGCCTTCAGAACAAATAACAACTATTTTAATGTTTATTTTGAACTTGCAAACGAAGGTGCTAAGTGTGTATTTTGGTACGTGGCTAATCGTATGTCGATTTCTTTTTCTCGGTTTGTCTCCTGGCAGGCACTGGTCCCCTTGCGTGCCCCTTCCCTGCTGCTCCAATATGCCTAGCACTCATGGACAGTCTCTTTAATGCCCTAACCGAGTGGAGAGTGCCCTGTTTCCATCGAGAGAGGGTTTTTTTGGTTTTGTTTTGTTTTTTGGCTTTTTGGGTCACACCCAGCAATGCTCAGGGGTTACTCCTGGCTCTGCGCTCAGGAATTACTATTACTCCTGGCGGTCCTTGGGGGACCATATGGGATGCCGGGGATCAAACCCGGGTCGGTCGTGTGCAAGGCGAACACCCTACCTGCTGTGCTATGGCTCTGGCCCCGAGAGAGATTTTTTTTCATAAGATAAAAATTTTCTGCTTTGAGATAAAGGGTTAAAAATGGAAGGGTGAAAGCAAAAGCGATGGGTCCGGGGTGTCGTTGATCTTCCTGGGCACCTGCCTTGCCCTGCATGCCCTCCCGCTCTCAGACTGCCCACTTTCTGTTCCCACAGATTAACCGAGAGAGCTGGTGTACCATCGAGCCATCCCCGGATGCAGCATCTCCCCTGACCCCCACCACGAGCCCAGGTAAGTGGGGTATGTGTGTGTGTGTGTGTGGGGGGGGGGGGGGTGTTCTGTGCAATTTGCTTAAATAACTGCTGGAAAACATCTGTTGTTGTTTTGTCACCCCTCATGCTCGTTGACTTGGAGATCTGCCCTCTCCAGCATCTTAGGCAGTGTGGGTACATGAAGGTTGGGTTGGCATTAACAGAGGTGCCGTGAGGTATGGAGTGGGTAGCTCACAATCCCAGGCTTTCTCCCAGGTGTGGCCACGGTTGCCTGGAGACAGGATGCCTGACCCATGATCTGTGAACTCCTGACTTTCACGCCGAGAACCCATGTCCAGTGACACGGTGACACATGAACCACCCCAGCCCCATGCCCATGCCTGTAGTCATAGGAACGGCCATTTGTTGTTTGTGCGCTTGAGTTTGCATCACCCATGAAACCTCTGTCCACTGTCCTTATAGTCCTGCTCTGAGAGCGGGGGCGTTCTAACTGCTTGACTCCTTCCTAACAGCTTCCCTGTGGTAATGCTTGAAGGGGGGTCCAGCTGGCAGACATCTGCCTGGAAAGGCGTCCATTGGCCGGCTGCCCTCATGTGATTGAGGGCGGTGTTGGTTTCTCATGGAACCAGAAGTGTTTTCTTCTGTTTGAGCCTCTGAGAAGGGAGCTGTCAGGGCTGGTGCTGCACTCGGGCTATGTTTAGGGTTTGCATCCCGTTAGGAAGTTAGCCCTGTTGGTGCATTTAGCTGACCCTTTCCCCGCCCGGCCCTACTTCAAAGTGCACTACTTACTGTGTTTTGGTTCCTTCAACTAATTGGCTTTTCTGAAAGTGTAATTAGTCCTGGCCATCCAAGCAGACTAAATTGCTGGCCGTGTCCACGTGGCACGAGGCTATCTCGCGTCTCAATACTTTGAGTGGCATCTCCATTCATCGTAGTATGATGCATTCATTTCACAGAATGAGGTCTGAACCTCTGTGCGTTTCCCCAGGAGTAATCCTGAATTATGTCCTCCCCCACCCTGCTTACTCCACACTTCAACCCGAAGCATCATTACATTGGCCTTTTGAAAGTGGTTCTGTTTCCAATCTCATTTCAACAAAACCTGAGGTCTGGAGTATGAGATTCTGAGCCTCAGACTCAAGACTTTGTTAGGAGTGATGGGTTTGGGGGGCAAATTCTAGGTACTTTCAGTGTTACGGGTTTATTTCTCATCTTTTGAAACAAAAAATAAAAGATCAAGGAGGCAATAGCGTTAAACCAACTAAGAGTCCTTCTCCCCAATCTTTCCATGTGGAACTTAGTCCTAGTCTAAGTTCCTCCCTGCCTGGGGAATTCCTTTCTCTTCTACTTTCTAGTACACTTTTCTACTTTCTTAAACCAAAAGTCCCTTTGTCCGATCATCAGTTCTGGATAAAGGTGGGGCAGCCAGGGGAGCTCGTTTCAGCAGAGCCCAGGAGTGATGCTGACTCCTCCTCCCTGTCAGCTGTAATTTGATTGCATAGATGCAGTTTAAAGCCTAAATGACTGGACAGCATCTTCCAAGTACACATTCTGCTCATTTTTACAAAGCACCTGGGTCAGGTCCCAGAAGTTACAGATAGGTTGATGTCGGGGCCACAGGACAATTCTGGTGCCCCTCAAGGTACAGAGTCCTCTCTTTCAAAGGAGAACATTCTCGTTTGGTAGGATTTGGTTGGTTATTGGGGTCTGCGAACACTTTTGCCACTACTTCATATGATAATGTTTTTGAGTGTTCTCTGGCCAAAAACCAGCCTACCAGGCCATTCCGAACAGGAGCGTTTTGCTCTGGAATAGGGGGTGAGTTGCACATCCCCACGGATGCCACACTGTGGGCTAAGAATTTAACCTTACCAGCACGTTCAGTGCGTGCCTGCTCTGTGTCATGGGGCAGAGTTCTGAGGGTCCTCTGTATAACTTCTAAGGTCACCACAGTCGTTTCATTCTCTACTGTGTCACCTGTGTGGAAGTGAGACTCAGGGCAGCTGTGTGACCCCCTCCTGCACCCACTCACCCCCACAGTCTTTCACCAGTGCTGCTGGCCAGGCCAGCCTCTTGTTTCCTGCCCCTTGGGGAAGAAAGGGCCCAGAGGAAGAAAGGCGCCATTTCACTTTGCAAACATAGCGTTGAATGCAGTCGAGTCTAGACTGACTTTGCCTTCCGGCTGTCGTTTGTGAGGGGCGCTTAGTGACTGGTAATCCTTGGTCTCCCCTCGACCTCATCCTGGCTCTTTCCTGCAGCTTGCTAGCCAGAGATGCCTCTGGTGCTGGATCTTCCCTATGGATTTTCCTTCAGACTCTCTCGAGCTGGTTTGTCTTCCAGCCTGGAGCCTGGCCGGGTTCTGTGAGCCTGCCTGCTGGGCAGCCGGCAGCTCGCTCTGTGACAGTCCTTTCTGTCCCTGGCCACAGCTCCACTGCACTCCCTCCGCCACAGAACAGAGCTTCTTATTTTTCTAAGTGGAGAAAAGGAAGCAAGTAGAAAGATCACAGCCACCAGCTCCGCCTAAGTTGATGCACGCTCCCAACTGGGAACGAGGCTCGGGCTGTCCAGACCTCAGCTGTCAGAGCTGTTCCCACTGAACTGATAGACCCAGAGGAGCTGCTATCCGGAAATGAACTCAAGTGATTGTTTCATCTCTAGTTGAATATTCTGGCTTGTCCTTACGGGCCCCGCTTGCTTCCTGAGACAGACCCCCACGTTGCGCTTCTGTGTGGGAATTGTCTCATTCGGTTTATTTTTGCTGTGAGATTGGGAACCCTTGTTCCTTTGTGTGCATACATGTACCATGGCTCTTAATTTGAGAACTCCTCCACTGCCTACTTAAATGCCTAAATTTTTGTTGTTTGTTTTTGGACCATCCCCAGTGGTGCTCAGGGGCTTACAGTTGACTTTGTGCTCAGGGGTCACTCCTGGCGGTGCTCTGGGATACTATATATGGTGCCCAGAGCAAACTAGGTGGGGCCACCGTATACGAGGCAAATGCCCAGCCCTGTGTTGTGTGTTTGACTCCCAGAAAACAACCTTATATTAACAAATGATTCTTTCTGGTTTTCTTTTGGGGGGTCACACCCGGTGATGCACAGGGGTTACTCCTGGCTCATGCACTCAGGAATTACTCTTGGTGGTGCTCAGGGGACCATATGGGATGCTGGGAACCGAACCCGGGTCGGCCACGTGCAAGGCGAACGCCCTACCTGCTATGCTATCGCTCCAGCCCCATTCTTTCCGGTGTTTTAAGAAGCTTCATTAAATTTATTTTTCCTTTGTCGGGGGAGGGCTTGCTCAGTAGTGTTTGGGGTCTGTTCCCAGGTCAGTGCTCCCGGGACCACACGGTGCCAAGAACACTGGGGCTGTGGCCGTTTAAGTGTGCTCCCTGGGCTTGACCCATGATGGTTCTTCATCTGGACCAGTGAAGTGCCTCTTAGAAGTCGCCTGAAAGTCCCTGCTCATTCAGAGTGCGTAATGTGGTTGATTTCAGAGTAGCCAAAACACCTTCCTCTGCCCCCAACCCCACCTGGGTCCCTGTGCACTGTGGGGAGCCGGGGGTCTCCCTGTTTCTCTTTCACCACGTTTGTCACCAGCGCCCATGCCAGTGTTGTCATGGGACAGACACCGCTTGGGCACAGTGGCAGAAACAGGCCTCCCTGGAGCATGCCTCAGACTTGGGGTGTTTGGGTTTGTTTTGCCTGAGTGTGCCCACGCCTCCCAGTGGGGCTCTACTCTGATCTCCGGGGGAGCCAGGCTTTTAGCTCTGCCCCTTGTCACTTGCTGTGGCCCCAAATGTGATGAGCAGATGGCTGGGGCGGAGATGCCTCACTCTTAACTTCAGTCTCTTCACTAACTGAATTTCTTTGGGGACTCAGTGACACCTCTGAGTGTCATTGGCCTGTCTTCCTTGCTGCTAGGTCATGTGGCCTTCCAGTCAGAACCCCCTGGACCCCCTGGACAGGAGCTTGGAGTGGGTTAACTCATTTACCCGCTGTCCCTCTGCACGGTATTTTGATAGAGTAACAGTCTACAAAGAACTTAAGTCTCAAAATAGAAATTGGCCACACACCCTATCACATAGTTTCCAAATAAAGAACTTTTTCATTTTGGTAGTGAAAGCAAAAAGCACTTAATTACCAAGAAGGTCATCGTTTAAATATCTAAATGTGGGCGGAGTCATGGTTTAACTCAGCATTTGTTTCATCTTTCTGGTTCGTTAATTAATTAATTAATTAATTATAGCGAATCACTGTGAGGTACAGTCACATATTTATAAGCTTTCATGTTTACATTTCAGTCATACAATGATCGAGTACCCATCCCTCCACCAGTGCCCATTCTCCACCACCAATGATCCCAGTATCCCTCCCACAACCCCACCCCCCCAATCCCATCCCGCCTCTGTGGCAGGGCATTCCCTTTTGTCCTCTCTCTCCTTTTGGGTGTTTTAGTTTGCAATAGAGGTATTGAGTAGGCATTGTGTTCAGTCTATAGTCTACTTTCGGCACGCATCACCCAACCCAAGCTCGTCCTCCAAACACCCTTTGCTTGGTGTTCCCTTCTCTGTCTGAGCTGTCTTTTCCCCCAGCACATGAGGCCAGCTTTCAAACCATGGGGCAAACCTCCTGGTCTTATCTCTACTATTTTTGGGTGTTAGTCTCCTATTCTGTTGCTTAATATGCCACAGATGAGTGTAATCTTTCTATGTCTACCCCTCTCTTTCTGACTCATTTCACTTCGCATGATACTTTTCCTGTTGATCCACTTATGTGCAAATTTCATGGCTTCATCTTTTCTAACAGCTGCATAGTATTCCATTGTGTAGATGTACCAAGGACTGGGTCGTAAATTTGTTCTTCCTGTCTTTGTAGCCCTTACCTTCATTGTGGCCATGAGTGGGGCTGCCTAAACTTGCTTGGCACCCCCCACAGTTGAAGCGAGGAGAAGGTGGGGGCCCGCACATGTAGTTGTACCTGCAGGCCTGCCCGGGGATGGCACTCTGTGGGGACTGGGGTCTGAGACAGGCAGTGAGCCCAGCGTGCGTGGGTATCAATTGGGATGGGACTCAGTGCCTTGTGCTTCCAAGCCAGGCGACCTTTCCCGGTTTCCCCGCATGCACCTGCAGCTGGCCTTGACTGTGTCCATGCAGAAGGGCAGTGTTGAAGCCGAGCTGTTGGCCTGTCCATCGCGGCCTGTCAGTGTTAGGAGGCAGGGAAGCACAGACAGCGGGCTAGAAGGGCGGCTGCAGCACGAGAAGGGACTGAGTCCTCGTGTGGCACTGACGCAAGATCTTCTCCCTTCAGAGAGCTTCCTGGATGTCGGACTGGGCAGCGAGCGCACCGCCAAGCCAGGGGCAGCTCCAGGGGGCGCCGGGAGCGACTGTGACCTCTTCCACTCGCCCAGCGAGGACGCGGACAGCGCCATCTTCCCCAGGGTATGTGTGAGGCGGCTGAGCCCGGGTGCTCTCCCAGGTGGTCCTGGGGTCCCAGGCCTGAGACGCTGCCACAGTACATGCAGGGCGGGCCTGGAAGTGGGCCGGAAGGGACCGGGCCGGCCGGCCGGCGTGGGAGCGAAGCGAAGAGACTTGTGATTCATGTTTTGGCCTGGAGCTGAGGCTCCCAGGGCGCTCACCCCGGCTCTTGGCGCGGGCTGTGCTGGAACTTTCCCTATCTGCCTGGAAGCCTGCGCCCTCCTCAGGGCCCCGCTGGAGGCCTCCCCTCAAGTCGTGGGTGTTCTCACACGGTCTGAGGAGCTCCAAGGGAGGGGGCCAAGCTGGCGCCTGCTTGTATGTGGTCTCGGTGAGTGGGATTTGTTTCTGAGCAGATCTGGGCCCTTTCCCATCGCAGAGGCACGGGGAGACTCCCCGGTGGGTGTCCCTGCTGGAGTCCATGGGAGGCGAGGGGAGTACTGAGCTTCTCCTGAATGTGCGGCTGATGTGCCGGCACTGAATCTGGAACATGCTTTGTCTTGTTTGTGGCGCTGGGGATGCGTCCAGGCTCCCTCACAAGGGCAGTGCCCCATCTCCTAGTCAGGAACCCTTTCCGGCCTTTACCACTTCATTTCCCATAGTCTCTGGCTTGCTGTACCTTTCTATGTTGCTCCTCTTCTGGTGCTCATTCCTTCCAGAGACCCCTGGAAAGATTCTTGATCTTCCAGATCCTACTGCTGTTCCCCATGGGATTGGCTCAAGGGACCCAAAATGTCAGAAATCCACACAGCATTGAAATCTTCCTTTTCTGGTTATTCACAAAGAGGAATTCAAAAGGACTAGTTAGAATTTTTTTTGGGGGGGGACTGGGGGGTCATACCCAGCAGGGCTCAGAGCTTACTCCTGACTCGGTGCCCAGGACTCACTCCTGGTTGGCTCAGGGGACCATATGGGATGAGTTGAATCAAGACAAGAGCCCTTGCTTCTGTCCTGTCACTGGAGGACTGGGCGATTTTGCCTGCACCCTTGAGCCTCTCAGTAGGAGGACTCCCGAGATGCTCTCCTCCTCCCCGAGGGCACTGGCCTGCAGCAGCTCGTTTCAGTCGGTCAGAGGGAAGGAGATAGCATCTCGAAGTTCAGCTTTAGGAACAAAATCATTGCTCCTCATCAAGGTGGGCTCAGGGGCCCATGAGGGGGTTGATCACCAGTTATGGATGTTTGAGATGTTTCGTAGTAGGAAATGATCTTCAAGGTGAAAGGTCTGGGTGACGATCTTGAAGATCTTCAAGCCTGGCTTGCTGCTCCCGTGTGTCAGCACCTCGGCAGCTGTGGCTTTTTCTGGTCCCCAGTGCGGTCTCCTAGCCCAAGAGAACCAGAATTTCCTCTGTGTAACCATCTTACTCCAGCTGCCGGAGGCACTGACGACTGCTGCTGGATTTTGTGAGGTTATTTTATTTTATTTTATTTTTTTTCCCCCCAGGATGACTTGGTTGGACAGAGAGCTTTGCAAGTTGAAGCCAGTTTTCCTTCATTGCATGGCAGAGTGCCCCAGGGTCACTCTGACAGGTCAGGTCACTCTGAATGACAGGGTCACCAGAGCCTGCTGTACCCTCACATGCTGGGCATGGGGTGGAGGTGGCTTGGCTCAGTCCCGGGGCCCAGGAGAGGAGAAGAGAGAGCTTCAGGCATGGACTGTGCTTTGGGGCCTCCTGAAGGCGCGGAGCTGGGGCTCCCTGCTCTCCTGTGGGAGCGGCTTACCCCAGCAGGTCCCTGGGAAATGCCCTCATGTGGTCAGGATGTCTTCTCAGACCCACTGCCTGCTCAGGAATAGGGTTGAAATGCGACCCCAGCCTGCTTCCTGATGAGTGTTTCCTCTCCAGCTCTGGAGAAGGAGCTGGCGTGCTCGAAGCCGGGCAGCGGCTGCTGGCCTGGGGGCTCCTCCCAGCTCCACTGTCCCACGGTTTCTCCCCCCGCGCTGAGCAGCCAGCAGACAGGCATTACAACACCCCTTTCTGTGAAACTGTGATGGAGGATTAGGTCACTTCCTGCATCCGTCTGTGTCATCCTGGCCTCCCACAGGCTCTCTGACTGCCTGTCCTGTGACCTCTTCCCGTCATGTCCTGGTCCAGGGACTTTGGCTCCTTCACAGTAAGACAGGTTCAGAGTTTTCTCCCCTGGGATCAACAGTCCCAAACCGACTCTTTGCGTAAAGGGGAGCAGGCACCCGGGATTCTTTCTGGCACAGAGCAGAAAGGTGTGACCTGAAGGTGCTCGTCATCCAGGCTGTCCCGCTCTTCAGAAAGGGCTGTGAACTCCCCAGAGAGTCTTAACAACTGCTGTCTTTTTCCCTGAAGAGCAATAAACCCGCTTCTGATACATGAGCCCAAGGTAGCCCCCCAGGGACACGCAGGGCCTGGGGGGCTCTCCGCCTTTCCCATGAGCTGGGTCTGTGCATGGATTCAACCGTTTTGGCCCTGAATTTTCATGCTGTTTTGGCGATAGGAATGCCAGTGAGCATACTTACTGAATCTATCTTGGAAAGACTGTGATTACTGTGGGAAAGGTACAGAAATGACTGGGGGCTCCTGCTTGCTAGCAGATGCTTAGGACTGTTGAGGTTAGTGACCGGGAGCGGAGTGAGGACTGGCCCATCGCAGGGCCTTCATTCGTGAGCCTCCCAGGAGCTGCTGAGGTCTGGCCTCCCAGGTGGGAAGTCTCAGAAGCGTGACATGTGCTGCCCGGACCCTCTGTGAGCCAGGGCTGGATCCCAGGCCAGAGAGAAGGGTTGTTTGTTCTCCTCACTTGAAACAGTCCTTCTCAAAGAATCAGAGGAGTCAGGCTCATGAGGAAAGTTCTAGAAGCAGAAAAAAAGGCCGCGGCGAGGCTTTCCCTCTCCCTGCGGGCAGGGGCAGCTCGAGACTCGGAGGGCCCATGAGCTGCCCTGCTGAAGCCAGAGTGCCATTGTATCTCTTCTGGGCACTCAGTCTTTCTGGGTGTGGGGTGCTGGAAGCTTATCTCCCTCCCCCTGTCTGTTTTGGGGTCTTTGGTGAGCAGAGCGCAGGGCCCCAGCCGCATGGTCTGCATGGCTTGCGGGGCTCATGGGTCAAAGACCGGTGTCCCAGCTGACTGCTCTGTGCAGTGGGTCTCGGAGACGGGAGGGGATGATCAGGCCTTCCACTTCAGCTTTTGGTGCCAGAACTCGGGCCTTAGTGGCTCCTGACCTTAAGTGGGTTCCTGTGCCGTTGCACACGTTTCTGCAAGCTTCTGAAAGCCATCACCCGCCTGCCTCGGGAGCGATCTCAGCTCTCCGCTGTGTGGCTGAGCTTTGTTTCGGCCTGATAGCAGTTCAAGGAACCCAGATGCACTCAAGCTTCCTGCAGGGCTGCTGACAGCGGTGCTGGCCGACAGGGCTGACCCCAGGGAGGCCGCCCTCTGAGAGTCTGCTTCGTGCTCCTGTTCTTGTCCTGCAGGCGGCAGGTGGGAAGGGCCAAGGCCAGGCCTGTCCTTGCCAGAGGCACCCAGCGCCCAGCTGTGACCCTGGCTCGGCTGTCAGTTCTGATCCTGCCCCCGCGAGAGCCGTCGGCCTGCTGCAGGTCGCCGATAGCCACCGCTCATGCCTCTCTCCTTTGCAGCCCGAGGAGGAGCAGCTGGGCTGCGACCTCACTGGCTCCAGCTCCTGCACCGACGACTCCGCCTCGCTGGACCGCCACTCCTCCTTGGGCAGCGACGTGTCCCTACCCCACGTGGCACATGGGAGCAGGCCCAGAGACCAGCCCGGCCTGGAAGGTGCCGGCAGCCCTGAAGCAGGTGCCGCGGGCCGCCAGAGTTCCCGTGACCCGGCCGGCTCGGGGGACCTCGAGGACGAGGAGACAGACAGTGTCACCGAAGTGCCCAGCACACGCTCAGTGCTCAGGGGCTCAATGCGCTCGCTGTCCCCTTTCCGGAGGCACAGCTGGGGACCGGGGAAGAACGCGGCCAGCGATGCAGAGATGAACCACCGGAGGTGAGAGGGCAGCCTGCCAGTCTGTGTGAGGGAGAGATTGTGGGGTCCCAGAAGCTCGGGCATCTGGAAAGCTCACACCTGATTCCCTGCTCTGCAGTGACCGTCTGAGCTCTGATTGCACGTCTGCAGAGCATTTGTCGCGGTGAAGGTCCCAAGTGGGACACAACTGTCCTAGTGACATCAGTTGCTCACCCACTGGTACCCTTTATTCAGGCTCTCCGGGCTCCCAAACTCTAGTGTCCTCCTCCTCCTCTTTCAGAGATAAAAATTCTCAGCGGCCCCCCTTGGAGATCTCTCTTTATGCAATCCTGCAGAGAGCACCCCCAAATTGCACCTGGGGCCTCTACCCCCTGAATTGTTTTGGTGGTCCCCTGGGTGGTGCTGGTGAAATGGTCTCTCCCACTTTGCGAAAGACTGGTGTAACCCACACATTGGAAGGAGTAGTTTTGATTTGGATTCAGAAATAGATAGGAAATCTCACGATCCCGGGATTTCCCGTTTCTCAGAGTGCGTTCCAGAAAACGGTGCGTATGCCTCGTGCGGAAATGAGAGTCCTGGTGAAATCTGAGCTGTCGCTGTGTCATCCTCATGAGAGGCTGAGACCCGTAAAGACCACTAAGTGGCGGGATTTCTGCACGGATCAGCCAGCCCATCCGGGGGCGCTTTCCTGAGCGCCAGCTTCTCCAGGGTTCTGGGAGTCAGTAGTCTGAGGCGGTCTCAGCTCCCAAAGAAGAGTGCCCTGTGGCTTCCTGCCTGGGGCTTTTTCCTGGGGCCTCTTGCTTTGGGAGGCTCTGCATGGAGCGCCCCCGCCCCCCACTCGCCCGCACTTCCTTAGTGAGGCAGCTCAGTGCCCCCCCCCCCCCCCCAAGTGTTTCTTACTCTTGGCTCTGAGCACTCGGCATCTGGCCCACCCTCAGTCCTGTCAGCAGCCCCTCCGCGGGCCTGCCTGCTCATTTCTGGGGGCACCCTTGCCTGAGCTTCCAGACTCCTGCCCACTCCCCTCCCCAAGCCATTTGGTTTTATTCTCGCTGTGGGCATCCAGGCGAGTTCCTGATGTACCCAGCTGCCATGGAGCCCAGTTTTTTGCTGATCTGATCATGGCTCTTCCCAGGAGGCCATTATTCTACAGTGGACTTCAGGACATTTTTTTTTTTTTTGTGGGGGGGTGTGGAGCACACTGGCTGTGGTTAGGGCTGACTCCTGGCTCTGCACTCAGTGATCACACCTGGCAGGGCTCAGGCGACCTCACCCTGTGGGGTGCTGGGGATCTGAATGAGGTTGCTGCCACAAGCAAGATGAGCATCCTACCCACTGATCCATTGGTCCACCCCATCTCCTAACTTTATTTTTGCTATACTTCGGGGATAAGTATTCACACCAATTTTTTAAAAGCGAAGAAGTCAGGATGTCGGGGAACAACCCCTACAGCCAGGTTCTCTTCCTAAAGCAGAGTGGACTTCTTAACAAGACCACCTGTTAGCAGTTGACAGCCCCAAGAAGTAGGTTTGGTTTCCCATCTGGTCCCCTCTGCCAGGACAGAGCCCAGTGGCCAATGTGACTGTGCTGGGTCTAGGCTCTGCGGAAGTGAGCGGCCTGCTCTGTGGGCAGCCAGCACCTTGCTCCCGCGCCCCTCCTGACCACACCCACACCCCAAGGCCTGAGCAGTAGGCATCACTCATGTGCTGGACCGTGCTAGCAGAAGTAGCTGTGTTCGATGTGCTGTGAAGTTTAAGGAGGACAGTAAAGAACTCTTTCAGGGTTTTGAGAAATTCCAGCCATACCCTGCATTTTCTTTCTCTTTGTCTCTCATCACCTGGTCAGGCCCGCAGAGCAAGGAGGGCTCCACACAACAGCTCCCACAGCAGCCCAGTCCTTTGGGCCCGTGTCCCTCTCATCCTGCACCCATCCCTTCCTTCCTCGTCCCGCTGGCTGTCCCTCTTGCCAGGGTGGTGCCGTGTGCTCCATGCCCTTGTTTCACCCACGCTGACCTCTCCCCCTTCATTTTCAGTTCTCTGCGTGTTCTGGGAGACATGGTCAGGAGGCCTCCCCTCCATAGGAGAAGGTACAGAGTCCTCTCGCCGCTCGGACTAACACTGCCGCCTCCGAGCATTCGCTAACAGCCGTAGGTTCCGCACAGTCTGTGCTCTGTCTGCTGGGAGCCGTGTCCTGTCTGCTTCAGGCCGTTCCCAGGGTTCCTGGGAAGCGCTGAGGGCCACTCTATGCTCAGTAACGGTTCTTCACTCAGGTCGCGAGTGTGTGTGGCATATGAGGTCACTCCATCGCCATCGCCACCACATATCGTAGAGGAAGCGGTTCTTAATCTGACTTGTTTTCCGGTCCTACCTGGACCTTCATGTTCTATTTTCAGGATATTGTTTCAATCTTGTGGTTTTTTGATGTTCAGATCATTTTCATAATCGGATCTCACCCAACTCAAATGTCATGTCCTGCTTCTTGAGGGAGCCCTAGGGAGGTTTGTGTCTTCGAAGGCTTTTGGCATGTTCCTTAAGAACCTGACACTGGACTCCTAGCCATGTGAGAAAGTATCCTCTTCCTTCAAGCAGCGAGCGAGGGGCAGCCTGTAGAGACTATGCTCTCGGAACCCTTAACTTGTAATTTAGGACAGTTGGAAGCTCAGGTGGTTTATAACCCAAAACGTCAGCTCTAGTCAAAAAAGGTGCTGACTTGCTTGAAACTTGTCAAAGGTCCAGATGAGTTTGTCCTGAGAGACCTCTGTGAAAGGTTTTGGGATGCCCTAGCCACTTGCACCCAAAGGCAGGACTCTGTCCCTTCTCCTCCAGTCTCCTTCAGATTGATGCTTGCACAAGTTCCACCTTTTTTGTACAAAATTGAGCTCGGCACAAAAATGTTAGCCTGCATCTGAGGTGGTGACAGTGACCGGTTAAGTTCTTGTCAGGGGAACAAATTGGAAACTGCTTGTTCATCAGGAACGTCTCAGTATATGGGGATGGATGTAGAAAGAGCACACGGAGCAGGGTGCCAGCAGGGCCCCGAGCTGGGCCGGCACCACTCTCCAGCCACACCTCCCCTCAGCCACCCCCTCTAGCAACGATGATGCAGAGTTAAGATTCTGTATTAACTCTGAGCTGGGCAAAAGATTACATACCAGTAAGCGTTAGAGTAGAGGAGAAGTTGTTTAAACCTAGAACTTTCTTTTAAATCCCAAATAAAGCCACAGAGCCACAAATAAAGCCACAGGACCACCCAGTATTCCTCACTTATTGGGAAGTGAGGAAGTCTTGGAAATCCGCCGGTGCCTGACTGGTCCAGCTCCTCCTTTGGCCCTCAGAAGCCTGAAAGAGCCTGCATTCTCCTCAAACACTCCTCCAGGTCTCACAGCATCACAGTTGTTGGAGAAAAGAAGATGCCCATCTGTAGGAGACTCCAGTCTGTAGGAGGAGGCTCCAGTCTGTGGGAGGAGGCTTCACTCTGGGAGGAGTGTCCAGGTTGGAGGAGGAGACTGGGGTCTGGAGGAGGAGACTCGGGTCTGGAAGAGGAGGCTCCAGTCTGTGGGAGGAAGTTCCAGTCTGTAGGAGGAGACTTTGTAGGAATGTTCATGTGATAATTTTTGATGAGTTACCCTTGGGCTTTTCAGTAGGAAGTTGGAGATTCAGGTATCAGGTCTTGCCAGTTTGGAGTATGACCTCTTGGTCCCCCAAGCCTGTGCGCTGTGTCCTGCTGGCTTTTGCGCATGCCAGGAGCCTCTGCCTCCGCCCTGTCTTGCTTTCCCGGGGGACATGGGGCTGTTGTGTGGTGTCGCTTTCTGTGTTCACATGTAGCTGTCAGCTGCTGCTGGAATGTCCAGTGTCGCCATGGAGCTGGTCTTCCGTTGTGCTGTTTTGTGGTTTTGCTGTCTGTGGGACCCCTCTGCGGTGGTCTCACTCTCCTTCCCTCTAGCATAGCCCCCCACTGTCCTGGGGCTCATGCAGACGTGTTCACAACAGACCTGAGGAGTCCACAGGGCCTTGCAGAATTGTTGCATCCCGGGGGAACGCTGAGGGAGCTCTCGTCCTGGTCTGTCCCTTCTGAGCACTAAGGCTTCTCAGCATTCACCCCAGAGCACAGCTGTGTGTGTGTTTTAGAAAGGAGCGCATCTGCTGATGAAAGATCTGACCTCCGGATGCATCTCGGCTCGAAGCCGTGTGGGGCTGGCTGTGGTGGGCGGTATTTCCAACCCCCCTTTCCCTCTGCTGCCCGAGGAAGGAGTGTCCCTGCCGAGGCCATTGAAGAAGTGGATGGTCAGAGGGGGTTTTAAGGAGTCGGAGGAAGACCGATACAAATCAGAAGCTCCCCAATTTCAAAAACAAAACCAATCCCTTTATTTCTTCGTATGAGGAAGGGTTCGGCGTGTTGGTTGGTCCTGCCATTCTGAAAGGTGGATGAGTTGTCTAAATGCGTGAGCAACTCCAGAGACTCGGCTCAGCCATGCTGCCACCCCTGCTACCGGAAATGAAGAAATAGGCAGGCCAGCAAGGGGGTTGTGGGGCCGGGGCCAGGACAGGTGGGCCTGTGGAGAGGCTGGTCCGTCTCAGAGCCCAGAGGAGGAAGCCTGCGGGACCCTTCTCTTTGTACCAGATTTCAGAGGGAATCTGGGGTGTCAGGCCAGGGCTGTAATGGGCTGTAAATGACCTGTAAAGGGCTCACATGGCCATTTTGAGCATGCTATCCAGAGGGACATTTATGGAGTAATTGTTTTTAGTGTCAGAGGTCTTAATTCTAGCTTTTCTCTAAATTCTAAATGCACATCACATTCCTAATTTTCAGATGACGAGATAGATCTCTCTGTAACTGCACCCTTTCCTTTGAACCCCAGTAACCTGTCCCTGTGTCCTCTTTCTCTCTCCGTTTCTGTCATCCCCAGTCTGAGCTGGTGTCCTTCTGGCGTGCCCCCTTCTGCTGCCCTGAGTGCTGACTTTCATTACAGAAGGTACGATACTGTCCTCCGGCGGCACTGCACAGGCAGCTGGTGGCAGTTCTGGGGCAGAGGTGTGTGTGTGGGGGGTCTCACCCTGAGTGTCCCAGGGACTGTGCCACATTTATTCCTCACAGGAGTGTGTTCGACTCCTCATACATTCTGGTCTGTCTCCAGCCCCGGATTCTCAGAATTCTCCCCTCCTGTGGGAACAGTGGCAGGGCAGGGGTGCTAATCAGATACACTTATTTCTGGGGTGCCTCAAAATCTCCCAGTCTCCTTAGATCCCAGATTTCCTGACTCCTCCTCCTTACTTAGCCAGTGCAGCCAGATGGAATTATTAGAGTGTTTTCAGGGTGAATTTCTTTGGTAGGCAGAGGCCAGTCTCCCCTAATCATTCCCCGTGGGAAGCTGGGTTTCTTCTTGAAGTCTTCTGTCCTCTTCTCCCTGTATTGAGGGTGGGTTTTGCTGAGACGTTTATGTATAAGTACTCATAATTCCCACTGTCATGTTGAAAGAAGGAAAACAAAATGTATTGTTTCATCTACCCACCAGGGCAAATAGAGTTTCTGTCTTAATGAGTAATTTGTGAAACAGAAAAAGCTAATGCAAGACCCTGGGCCAGAGTGCGAAGAGACAGGATGGGCTCCTGCTGCCCTCCCAGGCAGCTGGACTACTGACCACTGACCACTTGGCCAGCGCTGGCCAGCTGCCGAGACCTTCCTGGGCTCGCAGCAGCTGTGAGTTGTCCTGGCTTGCAGCCCCTGGAGCCCCCTGATGCAGGGAGCAGTCTTGACTCTGCAGAGTCTTCCCCTGTTTTAGAGACAGCACCCTCAGCGTGCTTTCTTTTCTTTCTCGGTCCTTGTCGAAATCCAGAGGAAAATTTAAAAAATCGAGTTTCTAGACGAGCAGCTTATCATCTTTTGTTGTCAGGGGCTCACCCGTGCCGTCCACGCTGGCACCCGCAGGAGCCTGGCCCAGGGTATGCATAGGTGACCGAGCTGGAAGCGGCAGAAGGAAGCCCGTGCGGGATGCCCTAGGCCCTCATTAGGGTCACGTGCCCTCCCAAAGTCACTTCTGCTCCCGATTTCTTCTTTGCACGAGTCAGTTTAGATTCTGGCAGCAGATCCAGGGCAGAGACATGTCTAGAGGGCAGCTTGCTGGGACAGGGAAGTAAGGTTGTCCGAGAACAAGGCCCACCCTCCACTAGAGGACCTGGGGATCAGCAGTCTCGGGGTAGGCTTCCCTCTGCACTGGGCTCCCAAGGCAAAGGGGGATGTGGGTACCAGGTGCTGCTGGGGGGAAGCAGGGGTTGGTCGGGGGACACGGGAGGGGTAAGGGTAGAGGACAGCACAGAAAGGGCTTCACGTCCAGGCTGGGACTCGGAAAAGCCTAACCTTGGGGCTCTGTGTTCAGTTTCAGCTTGGAAGGCCTGGCCGGCGGGGCTGGGGCCGGGGATCAGCCTTGCCCATCTCGAGACGTGAGTCCTGCCAGCACTGCAGGGTCTAGGCACCCTTTCAGCGGCCAGGAGCGGCGGGGCTCTCTGGTGTCCCTCTCAGAAGAAGACCTGGAATCGGGCCAGGGAGAACACAGGAGGGTGTTTGATCCACAGGTAAGGAGGAAAGGGGCTAGTGCTGCTTTTTCAACAAGCGTTCCTGTCCCGAGCACTGTGATGGGAGCAGTCTTGAGTCAGACCAAGGCTAGAGGAAGGAGGATGGCTTAGGTGTTACCTGACACACCCTGCCGGGGCAAGGCAAGTTTTCAGCACCTGGCATTGGTCAGAGATATGTTAGTCTGTGCTTTCTGGAATATCCCATCGAAGGAGAACATCCAGGGTACCACATTGCTTTCCCTGCAGCCGGGGCTTCTGTCCCCAGCACTGCAAAAATCACAAAAACCCGAATGGAGTAGTTTTCCTTTTTCCCTCAAGACCTCTGCTTTCTTCCCAGCAGAAAAGAGCTCTGAGAAGGGCTCATACCATGATGAAACTTCTCAGGCATGGAGTTTCTGCTTCCCCCGGATATCCGTTGCATACTCTTTGTCTTAGCGGGTTCCCTGGAGAACTGTCACGTTTTCTCCTGGCATCTTCATGCTGCCAGAATTCTTAAGAGAGTGCCTTGCTTTCACCAAGAGGCCATTCAGTGCCCACTCCTGTTACCACTCTGGAAACTTTGGAAAGATCGTGGACTTTCCTGCTGACCTGAGGACACTGCTTTTTTCTTCGTCTTTGTCTTCCTCGGTCCCTCACTTGTCTGCACAACTTTACACACTCCTAGGGAGTGTGAGTTCTGTGCTTTGATTCTGTCCCTGCTCTACCCTGCTCCGGGTCCCGACGAATCTGGATTAATTTCCAAGAGGATTCTCGGGTATGCACCCAAGTTAGGCATTTCTCGACAAAGCCAGCCCGCCTGCTGTTCGAATGGGAGAGGGGCATTCTGTCGGAATGTCATTTTGGACGGGGGCCTACCACATGCAGTGGCAACTGAGGGCACGTTTGGCCCTTGTGTGAGTTCCACTCAGCTCAGGTGAAGGTCGAAAGAATTCTGGCCCCAGGAAAATCAGATCCAAAGGTGGCAAACTGTTGCTCCCTCCCGCCCCTTCCCATTTTTTCTGCCTTTCAAAAATGTTCTCTGGCACCATGATTTCCATTGTTGCTTAGGAAATGCAATGTGGCTATGCCACTCCCTCTACCACAGTCTTGGCGTCCTTCTGCCACCGTCTCTATGCCCTGATTGCCCCCACGCCTCCACTGAGCAAACTCTGCTCTGTGGACTGACCCTCGATCTCTTATTGGGAAAAATATGTCAGAAGATGCTCAGAAGGGGACACAGTAGGTATATTGGAGGCCACGGTTTTAGTCTCTTCAGCCTAGCGTAGCAGAGGAGAGAGGAGAGCATAGGGATAGTTCTTAAAAAATAAATCGCATTAGACATGTGGAGAGGCCTTTGGAAATTATTTTCAAGGCCAAGGAAAATGCCAGGAATTGTGGCTTTGTGAACAGTACACCCAGAACCCACTTGTCCCATTGAATTTTCCCGATGTCTTTGTGAGGACTTCAGGCACACGGAAGTGAGCTGGAGGTCTCACATCTGACAGTTAACCGGAAAGTGTTGAATTTCAAATGTCTGGCCGTTCGTCTTGGTAATTCTTTTCATGACTTTGCTCTGGGTGAGCTTTAATGAGGAAGTGAGTCCCCTTTAGTCTTCTTACGAACGTCGGGGTGATGCTTTTCTGGAACCGATGTTCCCGGCCCTTTGACAGATGATCCTGCCTTTTTAGCAAGCGGCGTTCATCACTGCCGATGCCTTTTGAAAAGGGCCTTTTTCTATGCCACCTTCCTAACGAAAGTCTTGGACGTTTTCATGGCCTCCTATGTGAAAACTGCTCATGCCCAGACTTCCAGGGGTCTTGCTTGTGCAGCCTGAGAGCGGGGCGAGTTGCCGCTGCCTGCGGCTGGCTTCTCTGGACGGTCCCGGCCCCTCGCCGAGCTCGCTCACTTTCTAGGCTGCACAGTTGCATGTGAAGTCTCGCGACCGTTTGCTCAGACTCCGTGGTTGCCTGTGGTCAACTTGCAAACAGCTGTGAGGGGTTCATGCTGGTCATGATTTCACTGCTTCCATCTTGAGACAGGCAAGCGAGAAGGACACAGCTCTTGGCCTCCTATGGCAGGAAGAGGTTTGTGGTCACTCTGTCAGCTATAGTTAGAGGGGCACGCAGGAAGCGCCTCGTGCCTCAAGATGACCCTGGGGGCCTACCCTTTGGGGGTATTGCCGCAGGGGCACACAGCTGGTGGGTTTCCTGATTGTGGAGCTGCCCTCACTCATGTAGAACAGAGATTCCCAAATGAATCGGCCCTGTAATCCCCTTTCCAGAAATCCAGGCCCCCCACAGAACTCTGCCTTCTGTAAACAAGCCAGCAGAGCACAACCCCCACCCCAGCTGCCGCAGTGGAAGTCACTTCCTCCTTCAATTTGTTCAGTGCTCTGCAGAGTTGGGGGGGTGCCCCCCGCCATTGGGAAACACTGATGTAGAAGCATTCTTATAGTATAAGAGATGGAGATTCAGCTTCTCCCCAGATGCGTGGGTGATTTACTTGTGTAATCTTGAACCACTTTGTGCTTGAATCTCTCTTGCCAGTTCTTTAAAATTAGCATGACTTACTGGGCCGGAGCGATAGCATAGTGGGTAGGGCGTTTGCCTTACACATGACTGACCTGGGTTCGATTCCTCTGCCCCTCTTGGATAGCACGGCAGGCTACCCAGAGTATTCTGCCCACACGGCAAAGCTTGGCAAACACCCGTGACATATTCGATATGCCAAAAACAGAAACAAGTCTCACGATGGAGACATTACTGGTGCCCATCGAGAAAATCGATGAACAGCGGGAGAACAGTGCTACAGTGCTACTGACTTACTGGTACCCTCCTATATTTCTACAAGGGATATTTAAGTTTCATAGAATAAGGATTATACATAGACATAGGAATGTCAGCTGTTTGCTGAGCCCTTAGTGCATATGAATTGTGACCTCCTGAGGGACACAGAATTCCAGATAGAGGTGGATGCTTAATTTCCCCTAGTACTGATGGAATTCTAAGGTCCTGAAAAGCTCTCTTTCTTCTTTGCAGTGAGTACCGCGTTTCACTGCATAGTCGCTGCAGGTTTCATGTCAGTTTGATTTTGTTGGCAAAATGGCATGTGGTCATTATGTGAACCCCCTACATATTACGTATAAACAACACAGGGTTGATGCTGTTGCATGGGTCTGGGGCCCCTGCCGTGTTGCCCTTAAGGGTACTGGGGGGTAGTGGGAAGACGCGCGGGGATCTCAAACCCCAGTATGTAGACTGAGAATCTGCTCCTTGCTTTTGTCTTCACAGACTTGCCGCAGATCTAAGCCCCAGGGATTTAATTACTGTACATCAGCCATTTCCTCTCCTTTGACCAAATCCATCTCTTTAATGACCATCAGCCACCCTGGCTTGGACAGTGAGTATGCTCCCTTTCCAGATCATCGTTTTCCACCTTTTCCCTATGAATGTTCTTACCTGAGCACCCTCTGCCCTTTGCCCCCGGCTCGCCCATCCTCCTGGGAAGAGGAAGTCAGCGTTTAGGGGGAAGGTTCAGGGGGCCCAGCCGCTTCTTATCTACTGGAACTCTCAACCTCATTAAACCATCTCTCCCCGGACTTCACCCAACACACACACATCTTTAAAATTCTCCCACTTGGAGTTCTGGAAAGATAGTATTAAGTTAAGGTGCTTACCCTGCATGCAGCTGGGTGGTCTCTGGTTTGATCCCCCAGGCACCAACAGGATTGGTTTCCCCACAAAGAAACCCCCAAACATGACTTTTCCTTTTTAAATAATTCATGTGAAAGCAGTATAAGGAATGACTTCATGTTTATCCCCACGAGGCCTGGCTGTTGTCACTCCACATGGTGGTGAGTTGGGGGTGAGTTCACAGGTGGGAGGTACTCCCTGCCCCTGTGGTGGGGTACTGCAGAGGCAGGGGGCCACTCATGGCACCTTGTTGTTGGTGTGGCAGCTGTTCTCAGAGAAAGCGCCATCTCTTGTCTGCCCGGGATGGTTTTGGTGTGAGCTGGTGCGTGGAGTTGATGCTGGTGCGAGAGGGCAGGATGCAGTGTGTCCTGTGGAGCGGCTCACTGGGGCAGTGGGACCCCCGGGCCGTTCCCCACTGGCCCTGAGAAAATGGCACGGGGCCAGCCACTTCCCGCCTCAGCTCCTGACTCACCGGGCACTTGCTCCAAGAGTGGCCCTGCTTGACTGACGGCAGCTGGGGCCTCCCTGGATTCGTGTGTGGTTTGTTTTTGGTTTGGCTTTGGGTGGAGTTAGATGCTGCAGCCCCTAGCTGAGAGTGCCTCTGGTGCCTGCCCATCCAGGAGGGTCTCTGAGTGTGCCCCCAGCTCTGCCTGCCCCCCTTCCCGAGACGTGTGTCGGCAGTCCCAGGGGCCAGCCCCAGCACGCCCACAGCACGCGCCCTCCCTCCGCCCCTCCAGCTGCCTCCTGTTCCCAGGTGTGCAGCAGCTCACAGGGCAGCAGGAGACTCTGGCGTATGTGCCGCCTTGGTCCTGCCCGAAGCGTCTTGGCGCTGGGGCCCTTGGCCTGTTGCAGGCTTGAAGTTTGAATCTGGAGCACTGGTATGCTCCACTCATGGTTTTGTTTTAAATTGATTTTTTAAAATTAAATATAGGCTGGAGCGATAGCACAGCGGGTAGGGCGTTCGCCTTACAAGCGGCCAACATGGCCGACCCGAGTTCGATTCCTCCGCCCCTCTCGGAGAGCCCGGCAAGCTACCGAGAGTATTCGATATGCCAGACACAGTAACAACAAAGTCTCCAATGGAGACGTTACTGGGCCCGCTCGAGCAAATCGACGATCAACGGGAGGGCCTTTACCTTTACCTTTAAATATAGGCGATTATTTATGTCCAGGGGTCACTGCTGCTCTGTGCTCAGGAATGAGTCCTCACTGCACTCGGGGGCCCCTGTGGGACGCTGGGGGTCGAATCCGGTGGGCTTCATGCAAGATAAGTGCCCTCCTCATGTCCTTGACTAGTGTTTTGGTGGAGCTTGTCCCCGCCGAGTGTCTGCGTCATTGGAAGCCTCACCGCCCAGCCGTGCTTCCCTGGGAGGGCAGTGGCCGTGTGGTGTGATCCGGCTGACAGGGAGCGCGCTCAGACCCTGTGCCTCTCTACTGGCTGTGGGAAGTTGTTCCTCGGGAACCAGTACTCGGTGGCCTGACTGTGCGGCCAGCGGAGCCAAGGACCCATATTCTGGCCCCACTGCCTTCAGGCGTGGCTGGGACCATCCCTCTGAGTTCGTCCTTGCCGCCTGCTCTCCCGCCTGGGCCTTTAAGAAAAAGCTGCTGCAGGCAGAGCCTTCCCCAGTGAGGCATGATGGAGCGCTTGGAAATGTCTGGAATGCCTCCTCCAGTTATTTGCTAGATTTGAAAACCAGAGCAGCTGGTCATGTGACTTCCCAGCAGGTCGGTTTCCATAGCTGGAGAGGGAAGCGCCAAGGGGAGGGGGATTCACACCCTCGGGGTCGCTTTCTGAGTGGAAAGTGGACAGGGCTCGGCTTAGCTTCGAAGCAGGATGGGTGGTTTTGCCGGCCCATTCACGCCTTGGGTCTGCTGCCTAGGACGGGAGCACGGGGAACGCATCTTGCTTGCTGGTTCTTTTCCCACGGAGCCAGAATGATGCTTGTTGGGAAAGGGGGGCGCAGCCTGGGCCCCCGGCTCCTGGTAACGGGAGCCAGTGCGGCTCTTCCATGCATCACATGCCGAGCGCAGGCTCTTGCTTGCCTGGAGTTTCCGTGGCTCTGGGAGGGCCGGGAGAGGCAGCTCACTCTGCACGCCCAGAGGGTTGCGCTCTCTCCTCCCCTGCCCCACCCACCAGGGAGCCTCAGCCCACGGCACCCCTGAGTGCTCTCACTCCAGGGATCCAACCTTTCCGGGACCCCGTAGATCTCTTCCTTATTCTGCAACCTAGTGGTCACAGAGATGCTTGTGCACAGGGCCTGGGGACCGTTCCTCCTCTCGTGTGAATCTTCTGTGCCTTGACGGGGCTCTGATCAGGACCGTGCGGCCACATGTACAGCTCTCCTCGGCCAAGGGCTCGCACGAGAGAGCTGAGTCTCGCTAGTTGGAGGGGCTTCCGTTCTCTTCCTGCACATACTTGCCCTCTTCTGGCTGGGGACAGCGGGATGAAACTTTATTCTGTTTTCTCAGAGTAGTTAATTCTGGAAAGGATGGCAGTGACAGACACATCAGAGAGCAAAACTTTAGCCAGGCTCAGAGACTCATTGTATTGGTCATCAGACAGAGTTGCAAGCCTACATACGTATGTATTCATTTAGTGTTTCACGTAGTATGTGTGCACAGATCTGGGCACTACATGAAAATAGAGGGTCACCCCACAGAACAGGGGTTCCACAGGAAGTAGACAAGGTTGGAAGGGGGTCGGGTCAGAATAAAGCTTGAAGAATTCAGAGAGAATCCCCCAGTTTGGCATTTGGGCCACACTGTGCCAGATGCTTTAGGTGCATTGAGAGTGGACAGTAGAGCCCGGGGATCTGTGGATGCTGTCAAGGGTTTGCCCAAGAGGACGCAGCCCCCTGAGCCGGGAAAGGTGCAGGCGGAAGGAAGGAGGAGCGGGCTTTTGGGGTGAATGATTAGAGGTGGGCATGCCTGTGCTCGGGCTGAGGTGTAATGGGAGGAGCCCCAGGTGGGCAGTGAGGCAGAGAGTGGACACGCACGCTTCGTCCTTAAGGGCTGCGGTGACAATGAGGAGTCCGCGTACCACCTCCCGAGGCCCCCTCACACCCCCTCTGTTGACCCCTGTAGTAGCCGCCCCTGGTGCATTCACAGCAGGGCTGAGAAAGCTGCCCTCGCGTCCACCTCTTCACTAGCCGGTGCCGTGTGGCTGTGCTCGTCCTCAGAGTAGCGCCTCCAGCATCGCGCACGCAGTGGCCTCTTCTGGCCTTGGTTTGGGTTGGGGGAGACCCGTGCCGTGGCCCGAATGTCTCTGTCAGCCCTTCCCAGGACGGCAGCAGACGTGGCCGGCAAGGAGGATCTCCTCGGTCAGCATTTCTCCACTCCGCCTAAGTTTAGAATGCTCCTTGCTCTGGACTCTTCTGGTGAAGAGGAGGAGTAGCTGCAGGGTGGGTAGCTGTGTGTGGCCAGTGGTGTGCTACCTGCACGTGGTGACAGTGCTGGGGCTGGGGACCGAGAGGTGGTCTGGGCCCTCCTCCCTGTGCTGACGCCCTCACTGTAACACTCTGCTTGGCTTGGGGGACCGAAGGCACGACTGAGGTGGTGGCCTGCCTCCTGGGCCTCGTACCCTTTCCTGGAACTCGGGTCCCGGCAGGGGCGTCATTCGGAAGGCCCAAGTGCCTTCTGCACAGTCACGTGGTCACTTGCCCCAGGTCACTGTGTGGTTTTGCTGTGCAGAGGGATTTGGCAAATGGGCAACAATAGCTGTCACCTTCTTTGTCCCCTGACCGGAGGAGGGACCTTTTCAGAATGGAGAATCCACTTCAGCTTTGAGTGTGGAGAAACTCGCAAGGCTGTTCCATGTCCAGGTGTTTGTCTGACAGAGTGGGAAGGGGCCAGGCAGAGAATGTGGTGACTCAGATGCAGTTTCGGAAGGGTTTCCTCCCCCTCACTGCCCCTTGCATCCACGGTGACGAACCCCCAAAGGCAGGTGCGTGAAGAGACCTTCCAGCCAGGGAGCAGCCCCAGGCGTCAGGCCTCCACGGGCAGCACGCATGGTACTGCCCACTGCATCCAGCGGCTCAGCAGATGTTCCTTTAAACTGAAAAATTCCACCACAGTTTATGGGGCGCGAGGGAAAAGGAGAAAATGAACTGCGGGAACCTCGGGACTGAGCCAGTTTCCAGAGTGACTATGTACATTGTGGCTCTCCAAGGCGGTCACACGGGCTCGCTAGGAAAGGGCAGCGCGTGGGCGATTAGGTCTGACCTCTCATGAGACCAAAACTCCATGGACCAGTCTGGGAACTATTGCCCGTCCTTTCCCTCAGTTCCAGTCCTGGGACGATGGAGTCTGAGGGCTGCAGGTCACTTCGTTCCTTTTAAGGAAAAACCCAGTTGAAATAGGCTCTTTGCCTGCCGTGATTCTTTAGAGGCTGATTTGAGTGGCAGACCACTTTGTTTTTGTCTTGTGATGATGTCATGGAAGTCGCATCGGTGGTTTTGTACTCATAGATGTTTAGAAACATTGATATTTTCAGAGTTCAGAGGTGTTGGTGGGTTAATTGCTGTTTCCAGAATTACATTTCAGAGTTCATAGTTAACAAAGTAAAATGCTTTTCTGCATTTAAAAAGTTGGCAACCCCTACTGGAGTCATTGAGTCTCCTAGAACGTCAAGTTATGTTTTAAATTTAATATGATTTATTTCGGAGTTAACTCTTGGCTCCGTGCTTGTTGGTGTTTTCCTTCATCATGAGTTTTGTTTTAATTTTGTTGGTATTTTTAGGGTGGGGTATTAAGGAATCCTGGTAGCCTGAGAGAATTAAATGGTTTTTTATGTCATTTAAGGTTCTTGGGTGAAAGAATTTCAGAGCCACTGATGGTTCTTGTGAAGTGAATGATGTCATCTCCAGGTTAAAATCCCGAGCACATCCCACTCACCTCGCTCATGCCAATCCGGGGGCAGACTCTGGGGTTATTTTTATTCTGCTCTTGTTTTTCCCTTCCTGGATGTTGGTGTCAAGCAGTATAAATGAAACAGAAGGATCCCAAATAGGCCAAAGGAAAACTCGTAGAAATCTTTCAAAGATTTAGAATTCACTTTTAGGCTTCTTAATGCAATTTTCACAACCTGTTGGCTCCTTACTGTTGACCGCAGTTTTGCAGTTCCATTCAAAATCAAGACCAGGGTAGGAGTCTGCGTTCCGGTGCTGGTAATGCGGCAGTGAAGCCAAGCCAGGAGCTCAGTCATGCCAGGGAGCGCCACGTCAGACAGACTTGGGCTGGGAGCTCAACCGGCGTATGTGTCAAGCACAGGATGCTCTCCCTCATACTGGGAGTGGTTTTCACCTTGTGACTGAAGTCCCCCCACTGGCTGTGTGGTAGAGAAAATGCTGTGAAGAGCCTTTCCTGACCCACTGTCAGATCCATCCCGCTCGTCAGGGCCTGCTGGTCATGGTCTGAGTGGTCAAGCAGACAGAAGAAGCTTCTTGTATGCCTGTTTTGTTCAGAGCAGCCTGGACAGGCGCTGAGCAATCGCCTGCCCATCCCAAGTTGCTGGTGACTGCCCAGGGCCACCCTTGCACTTCCTGGTGGGTAACCTGTTCCCAGGGGTGCTGAGGGAAACAGCGGAGACACAGCTTCAGATCTAGACCGGAAGTGCTTCTGTTTCCCACCCTTCCTCTGCACTGCCTGAGGAGATGGCCAGTGGGGGCTGAGTGCTGACGAGGGCTGGGATTGACAGTGTGCTTCGTGTGTTTGAACACCAGCGCCCACATTGTTGATTTGGGGTCCAGTTATCCAGTGACTACTTCACTCCTGAGTCAACCTTTTTAAATGGAAATACTCACTTTCTATTGCTACCTTTTCCCACCTCTAATTTAAAGGTTTCCAGTTTTACTTCTCCCAAACCCCCCGGAGGAGAGGCCCCGAGCACTGGCTCTCCCACTTCCTGCTGGATCTGTGCCACTGTAAGCTTTTCGTGAATGTTTCGTCCGTCACCCAGCACTCTCCTGCTGGTCTCACTCTTCTCTGCTGTTTTGTTTTCTAGATTCGCGGCCTTTCCACACCACCAGTGCCAATCTGACTGAGAGGTAGGTCCTATACATTTTATTTTGCTCTTTGTCCTCCGATGGCGTGGAAGAGATCACAGCTGTCTCCTGGTCTTCGATAAGGGAACAGTTTTATTTTAGCTCTTTGGGTTATTCCTCGAGATGTGAGTGGTTTCAGTGGAGTCTTTATCTTTTAAAATAAGGATCAGTAATAATTTCCCGCTATTACTCACATCATCCTAATGGCAGAGATGGTGTTTGTCCACAGGGACATTGTCATGTTACACTTCCTGAGCTTTGTGGAACTTTTCATTCATTGCCTCTTGACTCCTTGTTTCATAATTTATGCATGCACGCACGTGCGCGTTTGTTCATGCTGTGCTGCTGTCTTCTAAGCTCTAGACTTTCTTTCTATATGCAAACGCATGTAGCATGCAGCTCTGTGGGGAGGAGAGTGGGTCTCCTGCTTGAGAGCACACAGAAGCTTTTTGTTCTGACTCATCATTGACTTTCACAGTCCTCTTTGCATGCGCCTGCGATGCCCAGAGTGCTCTGCGCCTGCCCGTCAGACTTCTGGTTCCCCATCCTCTTGACAGTGCTGGCCTCTGCCCCGTTTCCCCGGTCTCAGGCACAGACTTGGGCTCTGTCACAGCACTGTGCCTGTCGTCACACTTGTCCAGAGGTCCCTGCCTGTCCTGCCCACACACAGAACCCTTCAGACACACACTGGCTGCTTTTCTGCCAAACACATCTAAAACAGCATTCTGGAAAGTGTGCAGAGAGCCTTTTCTGGCTGGCACAGGGGCCTCCAGGTGCCCGGCCACTGGCATATGGTTTACCTATGGTCCACACAGGTAGCTTTTGCAGCCTGGAGTCTCAGAGGTTCTGCACCCAGAAGGTGGTGCTTCTGGGTCCCTCGGAATATCCTCTGCTCAGAGGACTCGGAGCTGCTCCCCAGTCTGACCGCTCTGTGGACACATACTGACACAGTGGCCCGTCTGTGCCCCAGGGTCGTGCATGACCATTCATTTGAACAAGTCCCTTGACTTGTCGCCTTCCTGAGCAGATCTGTCAGTCTAGCCCACCATGGGCCTGCTCTTAGGTGAAGGGAGCCATCTAGAACTATGAGACTGGCATTGTGACTGGGCTCTGCCCGACAAGAGACCACCACATGCAGTATGGCGCCATCAGGGTGCCCTGTGCTCTGCTCCTGGCGGTCTCAGAGCCCCCGCAGCCTCGCCTCTCTCTGCTGCCCACACCCATGTCAGTGCCAGGAGGAGACGTCTGTGCCAGGCGCTTGACCTTTTGTTGCCGTCACTGTTCTTATGGGAATCCCACCCCGTCATGGGGTCACGGGAGGGTTTTTCAGATTTTAAAATTGAAGTCCTGAGACTGGGTTCTGGCTCACGGGGCTGGCGCTCAGGTTTTACATGCCGGGGACCCCAGGTTTGGTCCCCAGCACCCATGTTCCACAGAGTACTATGTCAGGAATACCCATGCAGGTGGGGACGGGGTACCCCCAAAACTAGTTCATGGCAGTGGTCTTAAGAACAATCAATGTTGCTTTTGTTTAGTATAACAGAAGAGAACTATAATTTCCTGCCACCAAGCCCCTCCAAGAAAGATTTTGAAGGGAAGAGTGGAACCAAGGTCAGCCGTACCTTCAGCTACATCAGGAACAAGATGTCGAGCAGCAAGAAGAGTCGGGTAAGTGCCAGGCAGGCCGGGCTCCACGGTGGCACCACGATGAACCTCAGACCAGTTCTCTGTCTTCAGCCCAGAGCCCAGGCATCCAGTGCTCAGTTGGCACAGAAGGGGTAAAGGGCCATGAGCAGGGTATTCAGAAACAAAATATACTCATATTTGTATTTAAAGGTCAAAAAGAGGGCCTGGGGAGATGGTCAGGAGGGAAGGCTCTTGCTTGCATGCAGCTGACCTCAGTCTGAACCTCTAGCACCCTCTAGGGTCTCCCAAACCCCACCAGGCGTGTGCCCCGAGCACATAGCCAGGAGTGAGTCTTGAGCAATACTCCGCGTGGCCCAGCTTCCCCACTGTCCCCCCACAAATAATAATAATAATAATAATAATAATAATAATAATAATAATTGCCTGTAATGCCACATAGAGGAATTACTTTTCTGATCTTTTAAAAATAATTCGTGTTGGGGCTGGAGCCATAGTACAGTGGGGGGTAGGGCGTTTGCCTAGCACGCAGCTGACCCGGGTTCAATTCCCAGCAACCCATATGGTCTCCAGAGCACCGCCAGGAGTGATTCCTGAGTGCAAAGCCAGGAGTAACCCTGAGCATCACCGGGTGTGACCCAAAAAGCAAAAAAAAAAAAAAAAGAAGGTGTGTAAAAGTGAAAGGAAGACAAGGAGTTGACTTACCATGATTCCCAGAGCCAGGCCACAGCTGGTCTTTTCCAAATCTGGGGACAATTTGCTATTCCCCCCCGCACCGCTGCCCACCCCCTCTTCCTCCTTCCTCCTTTCCCCTAGGGACAAGGAGTTTTGGATGGAACTGGACCCCAGTTCTGACAAAGGGCCCTGCTGGCCCTTTTTAGTTTCCAGGGGCCGTTGGGCTTCAGAAGTGGAGATGGTCACGGCAGACTCATGCTCAGAGACCCTGGTGGCCTCCACTCTCTCCTCACAAATAGTTGTCATGGAGCACTGTCCTCTGCCTGGAACAGCATCACAGGACGGGCCTGCTACAGGGTAGGGAGGGGCAGAGAGGACGGGCCTGCTAGGACTAGGGGCGGGGCAGATAGGAGAAGGTAGTTTGTGCTCCAGCAGTGGCCTCATGAGAAGAGGCGACGTCACTCGCCCTCTGGTCCTCTGATCGTCCCCTTGGGCAGAGTGACAACACTCTTTTGCAATCGGACTGGTTCCTCTTTCAGATGTGGTTTCAGGACTCGGGCTTTCGGTGCCTGTGTGGTGGCCTCAATGCCCCTTGCAGTGTGGCCTCATGCCTCCACAGTGTTCTCTGAGAGGCCCTGCCTGGCACACTATGGGGGCATTCCGAGCTTAGCAGCTGCTCAGTAAGGTTGTCCTTAAACCTCCTTTAGAACGAGCAGCGTTTGTCAGCGTGGTTCGAGACGGTAAGCAGCAGGGAAGCAGGTGGTGCGTCGCCATGACTTAGCATCCCCCCTCGTTGCCGGCACCATGGGCCGGCGCTCCGCCAGATAGAAGGGCTTTCGCTAGACGGTAACCCCAAGTAAAGGCTCCCGTGTCTGGAGGCATTGGGCCAGTGGCAGTTTTTCTGGGGTGCTGAGTAATGTCCGTTCTTCGCAATCTGAAAGGCAGTGCTGTGCGGATAGTCATATTCACTTTTTTTTCTTTCTTCTTTTCTTTTTGGGCGTTGCACACCTGGTGGTGCTTGGGGGCTACTCAGGCTTGTACTTGGGGTGACTCCCAGCAGAGTTCAAGGGGGCCAAAGCTGGGGCTGCCGCATGCACAGAGGGGCTCGGCTCATGGAGCCATCTTGCCGGTCCCCAGTACATGGTTCTTAAGTGATCAGAGGAGCCCCAGGACCTCTTGCCAGCACAAGGGTCCCCTCCCTGAGGCTGTCGCTCTGGGGCCCACATGAATATGCCTGTGTAGAAAATTAAGTACTGACCCATGCCTGTTCTTTGGAGAATTGTCTACACTGAGCTGAATTACTTGAGACTGGATTGATTTATTCTAAAGGGGGAAGAACCCAAACAGGAAGTGTAACAGGAAGACAGGCAGTTTCTGCTTTTGACTCTGAGTATCTTCTCGAGCTTGACCTGTTTCCTGCCAAGTACAGTCATCATTGGTTTGCTGTGGAGAAGTCAAACTCTGACACGCATTGTGGGGGTGTCCGTGAGGGGTGCAGTCAGCTCCCCTCCGGCCCCCACGTCACACTGGTTTTCTTTTTCCTCTCTGCAGCAGCCGAGAGGGTTTAGAAATGTCTTAGGCACATCTGTTGATGAACATATTTTGGGTGTAGGGGTTAACTTTCTGTGCCGCTGCAAACATGACACTCAACTGCCGGTTCCTGTGGTCTCTGTAGCAAAGAGCCACACTTCACCACCTGGGGGGCGGGGCTGGGGAGCGGCCGTGTCCATGAGAAAGGCCCCCCTCGTGGCCTCTGGTCGAAGACCCACAATATGCTGGCTGCTGCAGCATGCTGGGGCTTGGTGGCCAGTCTCCCATCTCTTTGCTTTCTTTTTATTAGGGGGTCTAGTGAACAGTCTTCCCTTTTGGAGTTGGTTTGGTTTCTGATTTTTGGTGGTCACTTCCCATCTGAAAGCGTAGGGTTGGAAATGTGGGCAGTCCTCCCCTTTGGTCCCTCCGGTCATTGCTCCCTTTTGACAGACGGCTCCCTTTGTAAAGTGATTCATTTCTCTCCCTTTCCCCAGCCTGTCCCCAGATCCCCAGCATAGATTTCCTCGGAAACTGCTCTCCGTGAAATGGGGGCTCCTTCTGAAGAACTCCGCTGTGCCCTTCAGTTCCTGGCCTTGAGGCATTGGCCTTCGTCCTTGCCGGACCTCCACCGGGCCGCTTGGCACCTGCCGCCCATGTAGTGGTGGGGCATTTGTGGAGTCCCGTCTGATGGGAGGGCCAGTCTGCCCGCAGCATTCAAAGGGTTAAGAGTGTCTCAAGAAAACAGGCAGCGCAGCCTCCTCCTTCCCTTTCTCAACCGTATCTGCTTCCTCCTACGGTTTGGTTTCTCTATGCCGCTGCCCTGCCTGCCGGCATGCACCCTTCCTTCTGCGGGCGCACTTCCTGGCATGGGGGTCAGTCATGTCGGTGAAATGGGGCCGGTTCCCTGACGTACCCCACATCACGGTGAGGTTCATAGGAGCAAAACATGGGGAGGTGAGTCCCGACGACCAGTGTGTCTGTGTGTGTCGTTTCGAGAAGGGCTGAGGAGACCCTTTCCTATGCTTGTGCATCGGGAGGGCACTGGAGTGTGGAAAGGTGTCAGCTGCCTTAGGCTTTTGTTTTGTTTGGGGCCACACTCGGTGGTGTTCAGGGCACACTCCTGGCTGGCCGCGGGGGACCATGTGCAGACCTGACTAGGGTCGAGCCTGGGTTGGCTGTGCGCACAGCTCCTGCTTTCCCTTGTACTCTCTCTCGGGCTCCAAGATTTTAGATTAGCTTGTTTTTGAAACCTGGGACACATGCTTTAGCTTTCTTGAGCAGAATGTCCACCACTTTTCAGCATAATGCTTTACACACAGAGAAGACTTCAACAAGATTTAATTAAAAGAAGGAAATTATTTGGGAAAAAAGTTGAGTTTTGAATATCGATTTGTATTAGTTTTACGTACGTTCGTGGTCACTGAAATGAGTTGTTTCCTGCTTTGGAAAGTGATGTTTTTCTCCCTTTTCCTCATTATTATTACTATTATTATTATTATATTTCTAAAGGATAGCAGTTCAGCTATTAGAGTATATTGTCAGGATTCTATTAACAAAAGAACTCAGCATGAATTGGTACTTGTGGATCTGAGCTGTTTCGATCTTGTAGTGGGCTGTGGGTAGGGATGCCGAAGACTTGGAACCCCTTTTGCTGTGTGACTTGCTCCAAGTCATCCTCAGTTGGTTGCAGGAGAGAAGCACTGGGCTTCAGTGCTGGCCAGACCTGACTTGCACAGGCCTGGCAGTTGTGCCTCAACTTCTTGAAGCCTCTGTTGCCCTGTGTGCGTACTGGAGATAGTGGCTAGTACCTTGTTTGGGCTAGAAAATTGCTGCTAAGAGAGTGAGCGAGGGTGTTGTCCTTGGCTGCAGGGTGGCGGAATGCTGAGCAGATGGCGCCTGTCCCACTGGGTGTGGAGTGCAGGCTAGGCATGGCCACCGTTACTTGCCTGAGGCTGAGTTTTTAAGGTCACACCAGCAGTCGTTATCAGGAAGCCAGAATTGGTGATGGCTACGGTGCCCTCCCAGGAACCAAAGTTCCCGGAAGCACAAGTCTGAAAAGGAACTCTTCACGTGGTGTCCATGACCCACGCGTGCTCTGACCCGCTGACTGTCCACAGCATTTGCCAGCCACACTTGACCAGAGCCCGCTGTGCACCCTGGTAAAGAGAAGGCCTCCAGGTCCCCAGCTGACTGTAGACTCTTTTGTGTGGCAGGAAAAGGAAAAGGAGAAAGAGAAGATTAAGGAGAAGGAGAAGGACTTGAAAGAGAAAGAGAAGGACAAGAAGATTGTCAATGGACACACTTTCAGCTCTGTCCCCACCGTGGGACCCATCAGCTGCAGCCAGTGCTCCAAGCCCTTCTCCAACAAGGAGGCCTACACCTGTGCAGGTAAGCGCCCGCCTCCTGTCAGGAGCAGACACACCCATCTGTCTCTTCCCCGACACTCGGGGCTGTACAGGTAGCAGTGTATTGGTAATCACTGAGTGTGTCGGCACAGTTAAGCTTGGCCACATTTGCATCATGCACAAGGCCCAGTGGGCGCCTTATGTATGTATAATAGCGTGGTTAGTTCCTGTGCTTAGAAATGAATGTCTCCTGGTCAGCTGGCAGCACCGGCGGCCCTCAGGCTTTGAACAAGCTACAGGAAGAACTGTGGCGCATGTGTTGGCATTTCAGTGGTTTTTGTTGCTAATTTTCCGGGTTTCGTTTCTGTTTGGGCTGGTTGCCTGGGTTGGGGTGGAGTGATCGAGTCGGGGCTTTTCCCCGTGGAGATGACTCTTCAGCCTGCCCCCGGAGGTGGCTGAGAGGATCTGCCCCGATCTGTTTCCTGCCCAGGCCTGCCTGTCGAGGCATGTACCGGCCCCGGGAGGCATCACCCCTGCCGGGAGTGGGGAGTAGAGTGTCTGCAGAGGGTCCCTACTCGTGTGAAGTCCTCTCTGGAGAGGCAGCGGGGCCAGCCTCTGAGAGCTCTCTCTCGGGTGATGGTTTCCTCTGTCTCGGTTGGCAGAGCAAGCGCCGAGTATCCAGTAGTGCCCCGAAACCCCTGGGATCCAAAGCAGAAGGCCACGCAGCGCAGGCCCGGAATCCCAGTAGGCGGAGTGCGTGCCTGTGCTTTGCCTGGGGGCCACCTTATAGTGAAAAAGCTTTTAAGTTCAAAGGGATCTTCTTCCGAGTCAGCTCTGTTCCCGTAAAGCACTGTGCAGAGCCCTTTCGGAGGCCTTTGGAGAATGAGAGCACATTGCCTCTGTCGGTCGGGAATCTTTCTAAGAGAATCAATAACTCTTTGATGTTCCTACAGCACTGTGGTATGGTCTGTGGCCTGGAACGTCAAGCTGCATTAGATTTGCTTCAGTTCTTGCCTTTTCCATAAGTGTCTATTTTGCAAAGCAGAGAGACTAGCTTCTGGCCGATGTCATGGGGACTGTGGCTTCTGAATCCCCCCAATGGCCCTGTGGGCTCAGCCCTGGTCGAGACAGGGCATTGACCAGCTGAGTGCTAGCCAGGAGGGGTCGTGAGGCTCTGCAGAGACGGCAGTACCGACGCCTGCCGTGGAGTCGCGCAGAATGGCAGCCGGCTGTGGGCCTGTTGAGAAGGTCACGATGCGAAAAGCTCTTTGCTGGTTCCCCTCGCATCTGTCGAGGGTGCTTAGGCGGTCCTGGGGGGCTCTGCCTGAGCACCTGAGCTGTGTGGCTATGGGGACCTGTGCTTCATGTGGCCCTGTGTGTGGGGGGGGTGTCTCCAGTGGCACTTGCTGTCGCCCTGCCTGAGCTCGATGGGAAGCCCCAAGAGAAGGATCCAAGTGCAGGACACGTCATTACTGTGACGTGTCCCCTGCCCCAGCCCCGCCCCAGCAGGCATCCTTGAGGGATTTTCCAGTTACTCCCTAGTGGTCCTCGAATGTAAGTTTTGTCCTTGTAGAGTGTGACTCCAGGAGGCCCCCTAGAAACTCAGAGCCCCATAGGACAGCGACGGCCATTTTCAGGTTCACCTTCGGCTTCTGTCTTCCCAGAAGTGGACATTAGTGCATGGGGAGCCACTGGAATGACCCTGGGCCAGAACAGCCTCGGTTACACTTGTGGGGAACTTGATGTGGGCAGATTTGCACCAGAGTTGGTGATCTCTTTCCTGAAAGGGGTGGTCAACCAGCTGAGGTCGGGGACCGCTGCCCTCCCTGGCCCCGCCAGCTGGGTCAGGACTCCTGGTTTGGTGACTGGCTGGCCGGCACAGGGATGGCAGACACTTCCACTTTTACTTTTGGTGTCCCCTGTGCTTCCTGCGAGAGCAGCCCCACACTTCTCATTCTGTTTATCAGAAGTGACCTCTCCCCCACCTCCCTCCCACAGGCTGGGCCTCCAGCTCCGCTCGCAACAGCGGGCCTGTGTGTTGTTCACGGGCCCCCCTGGGTTTGCTTTTCTTCTAGGTTGTGGAGCTTTGGTCCACAAAGGCTGCCGAGAAAGCCTGGCCTCCTGCGCGAAGGTCAAGATGAAGGTAGGAGGAGCTGCGGGGTCGGCCGGGCCCACTCTCGTCCTTGGCGTGGCAGAGTGCCATCTTGGGTTTTGTTTATTCTCACCGTTTAGTACTAGCTTTGAGGCCAGAGTAACCTCGAAGCTAGTTTTCTCTGAAGAGACAAGTGCCTTAAGTGTCTTAAGGGAGGGGAGTCTGAGGGGAAGTGACAGTATCTGGTTCCCTCTGTGTCCTCGTGGAGGACCCCATGGTGAGGTTGCGGTGCAAGGCGGGCACATAGTCCATCCACCCCGGCATGGGTACCTGCAGCTCCTTGGGGTGCCACCTGTGCTGGCGGGGCTGCTGCCAGGATTGTGTCTCAGCAGCCCCTTCGGGTCGTGGGGTCCCTGCTCACTGGTCGCCTCCTAGCTCACTCCCAGAGGCCCAGGCTCCTGCCCCCACCCTGGTCCTCTCCCTGGGAGGCTCTGAGGGACTGCCTCCAGGCACAGAGTTGAGGTTGGGCCAACGGAGTCTCGTGTTTTTTTTTCTTTGGTGGGGGGGGGGGGGTGGTGGCTGATGCCATTATTAAACAATCACTTCCTGTGTCAGCTTGGCTTTCTCGTGCCTGGCATCTAGAATGGGTGTCTTGCCCGGCCCTCCCCTTTGTCCTCACCACCTTCTCAGAGTCCACGTTAACATTCGCCTCTGGTGACTTCCACCAGATGCAGCTTTATTCGCACAGACTGCACTGGCATCGGCTTATTGATAGTCACGGTCTCTGGCGACACCCACTCTTACGGGGTGCGCCCTGGCCCCATGGAAGACGAATGGAGTCCCCGAGTCCCTGGACTGGGGTCTGGTATCTCAGTGCCCCACCTCTGCCCTGTCACCTGACTGGCTCCATGGGTCTCTGGGCTACCGACTCCTGAGCGCGCATCCCTGCTGGAGCTTTGAGTGGCCATGGAGGGAGGAAGCCCAGGCCGGCGGTCAGGACAGGAAGAGGTCAGATCCCGGGCTCGCGCCCTGCTTGAGAATGAGCTCATAGTTCCTGTCTTCCAGCAGCCCAGAGGGAGCCTGCAGGCCCAGGACACCTCATCACTGCCCACAGTCATCATGAGAAACAAGCGTGAGTGACTCCCACTTCTGGTTCTGCTCTGACTCTGGACTTTGGGTACCCTGGGGTCATTCGAGTCCCTGCCCGGTGGCCAGGGAGAGGGCGTGAGGAGCAAGGCCTTGCCTCAGCGCTTCGCAAAGGCCTCTAGAATCGTGTTGGCGTGAAGGCTGGGTGGGATTCCTCTTCCCCGCTCAGGTCCCAGCCCGCCTGCTCGTCCTCTCAGCCCCTTCCTGTGCGCCTTCCCATCTGCGTGCCGGGTCGGCCAGTCTGTGCTCGCCCCAGTCCCCCCATAGTGCGAAGGCCCCCGTTTCACACTGCCTGATGCTGAAGAGCGGGCAGCGGCGGGCGGAGCAGCTCTGGGGGCGTCTGATGTCTGGAATCTTGGGCCCTGCCTCAGCCCTCCAAGTCCTGCCTCAGCTCCTGCCGGAGGAGCACAGACCCTAGACCCAAGCCGCACTCCCCACCCGGCCCACGAGAGCCCCTAGGCAGGGTCCACCACAGCCCTTGGGTTACCCAATGATGGGGTCAGGCCAGGCCTTCGCCTGCCCTGTCTGTGATATGGCTCTCACCGCCCCCCCTTCCTGCCTGCGCCCCTCAGCTTTGTGCTGGCATCCCATCCTAGAGGTCTGTTTTCTGTCTCCCAGATAAAATACACCGGCCTGTCTTGTGAGTGCGCCCGGCTCTGCCCTGTGCCCTAGCTCTTCTGGTGCATGTCCTGGCGGGCAGCCGAGGGTCGGGTCTTGGGGAGAGGGCCACACAGTCGCCTGGTGGGCTGGGAGAAGCCATGGGGTCCCCAGCCCGCCCTGGGAGCCCCGCAGTTCCTGCACGCCCCCCTGGCTGGCCGCTCTCGGCTGTGTGTGCTGCGGCCTCTTCAGGGCACCTGTACTGCCTCCCTGCCTGTCCCCGGGCCTGTGCATTCTGGGATGCACGTTCTCTCCCAGCGGGCTTCCCTGTCCTCAGTCCTGTCCCCTGACCCTTGTGCCCTGGGAACCGTTGTGGCTCTAACGTGCGGTGTGTCTGCTGCTTTCCCATGCTTCCCGAGGCAACCACTCACTGCACACAGCGTTGCTTCTATAAAGTCCTGCCACACTGCACAGTGGACAGCCCCCGGGCCATTTCTGGGGGACACAGAGGCTGTGTCTCAGTAGAGCCCAGGTGCCTTAGAACAGTTCCAGGTGACCCCAGCACCGTCTCTGCAGGAGGAGTCCCAGCTGCCGTGAGCCAGGGTGGGGAGCATCTTGCTCTGCTGTGCAGATGACCACCGGGGAGCAGTCAGCTGTGTCCCCCAATCTGGCCTCAGGGACACAGGCTTTCTTTCTGGCAGCCACTTCCCAGAGCACAGTGCTTTGGTTCTCTGCACCACTCTTCCCTGGCCCTGCCCTCTGGCCACACTCCCACAGGGCGCCCACTGCCTGGTGCTCTCATGGAGTTCATTTCTATGGCCACCCCATCACAGTGTCCCGCAGGCCGGGCTTATGCTCGTGTGCCCGCACCGGCCCTTGCTCCCGAGCCCATCTGCTGGCCCTCCGGCCACTTTCCAGTCCTCCGCTCTCATGGTGTGGCTGAGGGGAAGAGAGTGGGACGCAGTCACTCGGACACGCCTGCACCCCTGACCTCGGGCCTGGGTCAGGCCCTGCCAGGGTGCAGGTGAGGCGCCAGCTGCTGTCCCTCCTTCCTTCGCAGCCCCTCAGCCCAAGGAGCGCCCCCGCTCAGCCGTCCTTCTGGCCGACGAGACCTCCGCCGCCCCCCTGTTTGCAAACCGGCGCTCCCAGCAGAGTGTCTCACTCTCCAAGAGCATCTCCATACAGAACATCGCGGGGTGAGTGCCCTGAGCCTGCAGTGCCGAGGGGGGAGGGGGCGGGGCGTCGTGCTGCCCTTCTCTGCCATGGAGTGGACCTGTGATGAGCCCCGCATGGGCAGAATACCTGTGGGGTCAGACTGAGAAGCGGCTCGAGGGGAGACCAAGGGGCTGCATCCGCTCCCCGTGACTCTTTCCATCCTGTGGGACTACAGTTTACCTTGGCTTCCTTCTGGGGCCCTCTCCAGAGGCTGTGGAGGTCTCCGCCAGCCCTGGCTTGGTGCTCACCCACTAGCACAGGCTGGTGATGGTGCTGACGGTGGAGGCAGAGCCTTGCTGCCGTCGAGGGAGCAGGCCCCTCCAATGCGGGCTTGGCCCTCCGCCCTCACACACTCAAATGCAAGGGTGCATTTTGGGGCACCTAGTGTGTCCTCAGCCAGACACTCACTCAGCAATACAGGCCACGGCTCAGCAGGGTGGACTAGGTGACCGCAGATAGGACAGCAGCTGAGGCTCCGGCCCTGCATGCAGCTGGCCGGGGACCCCTGGGAATGAACCCCGGGCATAGAGCCAGGAGTGAGCCCTGAGCCCTCTGGGTGTGGCCCCCAGTCCCCGAGAGGAGCACCCTTGACTGGATGCTGCTTTTCGTTCCAGGGTTGGCAGTGACGAGAGCATGTCGACCACATGGAAGTTCCTGTCTCACTCCACAGACTCGCTCAACAAGATCAGCAAAGTCAACGAGTCCACAGAGTCCTTGACGGACGAGGGTAAGAGGGAGGAGTCCGGCAGGCCGGACACACGTGTGTCTGCGGAATTGTGCTGCGGGCCTCTCCCAGTTCCCTACAGAGCCGGGTGGGCGTCATGACTGCAGTGTGGTTGAGAGCCCATGTGCGCGTCATGGGCCTGGGCCCAGCCGCCTCCCCTTCTCTGGCTCCCCCAGGCCTCGCTGACCTCTGTGCTCTCTCGAGTAGGGACGGACATGAATGAAGGGCAGCTGATGGGGGACTTTGAGGCTGAGTCGAAGCTGCTGGAGGCAGAGTCCTGGAGTCGCACCGTGGACAGCAAGTTTCTGAAGCAGCAGAAGAAGGAGGTGGTGAAGCGGCAGGAAGTGATTTATGGTGCGGGTCTCCGTGTGCTTACCATGCCGTGCATCACACGCACCCATGCTGTGCTCAGCATCCCCCACTGGGCATTCGTGGGCTCTGGAAAGTCCATTTTCAAGCGTGAAGCATCTCAGAGATGCTCTGTAAGGACGGAGTGTAACATGTTCCCATGTGCCGTGCTGGGCCCTCCCCATTCTCTGGGGGGGTGCTTTGTCCCCCACCTCTCCCTCCGTCCCTCTGGAGAAGTCTGTGTCCTGACCCCTGGTGACAGGATTCCTGAAAGCTGTTGCGGGTGGGCTGCGGCAACACACCCCAAGACAACACTCCGGGCACGGTTCGGCTAGCTCCTCAGCGCCTCTGGACGCAGGGCTAAACACGCGTATGGCGTGTTGTCTCCAGCCATGGGTGGCACGGGCGTCAGGAAAGGGGAGGCCCGGGCATCTGTTCTGTTGGCCCTGGTGACGGCATCCATTGTGCCCGTCTGCAGAGACCAGTGACCCCGAGAGGGAAGAGTGACCATCAGCGTCCGCACAGGCTGCTGCTGGGGGTGCTGGGGAGGGGTGGCTGGTCACGGGTCCGTCTCTCCCCCAGAGCTGATGCAGACAGAGCTGCACCACCTCCGCACGCTGAAGATCATGAGCGACGTGTACAGCCGCGGCATGATGACGGAGCTGCTGTTCGAGCAGCAGACGGTGGACCAGCTCTTTCCCTGCCTGGACGAGCTCCTCAGCATCCACAGCCAGTTTCTGCAACGCATCTTGGAGCGCAGGAAGGAGTCGCTGGTGGACAGAAGCGACAGGAACTTCCTCATCAGGAGAATGGGGGACGTGCTGGTCAATCAGGCGAGTGGCGTCAGATGTCCCTTGGGCGCTCAGAAGCCGATGGCTCCCCCCGACCCCCCCACCCCTCCCAGCCTTGCTGCTTCCGCTTCTGTGCGAGTCGGTTTGAACTTCTCTACAGCACATCAGTATTTACGTTTGGGCGACATCTGGTGGTACTCAGGACTTAATCCTGGCTCTGTGCTCAGTGGTCACTCTGGCAAGTTCAGGGTGATAGGATAGGGTATAGGATGCCAGAGATTGAACCCCGGGTCAGCTTCGTATTTTCTGACCCCTCTGTCTGCTTTGTAAACAGTGCACCGTGGCTTCACTGACACAGGAGCTATACGTTCCACGAGCCACCATTGAAAGTGCACCGTTCAGAGGTTTGCAGTGTATCTGCATAGTCCTACAGCTCTAAGAACATTTCATTAGCCCTCTAACTACCCAGCCTCCCTCGGCAACCACTATTCTACCTCTGCCCGTTTGGTCTGGCCGCTCTGTACATGTGAATGAGACAGTGGGAGCCTTTGAGCCCCTCTGACGTGCACACCTCTGCACAGGGGGTGCTCTGACTTACACACAGGCTCTCTGACACACTCACACGGGCTCTGACATGCTCACACGGGCTCTCTGACATGCAGACGGGCTTTCTGGTGCTCACACAGGCTCTCACATGCATATGGGTTTTCTGACACACTTACACAGGTCCTCTGACACTCACACGGACTTTCTGACATGCTCACAAAAACTTTGATACACTTACATGGGCTCTCTGACATGCTCACGTGGGCTCTGACATGCTCACATGGGCTCTCTGACACGCGCACATGGGTTTTCTGACATGCACATAGGTTCTCTGACACATGGACTTTCTGATATGCTCACGTGGGACTCTGACTTGTGCTCATGGGCTCTCTGACATGCTCACATGAGCTCTTTGACACGCTCATAGACTCTTGACACGCTCACACGGGCTCTCTGACACTCGCACACTGGCTCTGACACGCACACAGGCTCTCTGACATACTCACACAGGTCCTCTCACAGTCACACAGACTTTCTGACATGCTCACGTGGACTCTGACACACACAGGCTCTCTGACATGTGCACACAGGCTCTGACACCCTCACATGGGCTCTCTAACACATTCACACGGGCTCTCTGACACACGCACAGGGCTGCGCGTGAGGCTCAGAGTCCAGGCCAGGGCTGTTTCCATCATGGCTGCCTGCACCATTGAACTCCTTCAAGGGACCCAGGGGACTTTACAAATAGACGAAGACGTTATCCAAACAGGAACGTGAGCTTAGGGCCTAACTGCGGCTCTCTCTCCAGTTTTCCGGGGAGAACGCAGAGCGCCTGAAGAAGACGTACGGCAAGTTCTGTGGGCAGCACAACCAGTCCGTCAGCTACTTCAAGGACCTCTACACCAGGGACAAGCGCTTCCAGGCCTTTGTGAAGGTACTTCTGGAGCTGCCGGCGCCCCCAGCCTGCACCTTGGTCCCCTAACGCCTCTGACCATGCCTTCCCTCCCTTGCAGAAGAAGATGAGCAGTTCCGTGGTGCGGCGGCTTGGAATCCCAGAGTGCATATTGCTTGTCACACAACGGATCACCAAGTACCCGGTGTTGTTTCAGAGAATTCTGCAGTGTACCAAAGGTGAGTCTCCCCTTCCCCTGTCAGGGGACCCTGGTTAGTTGAAAAGGGATCCTGGTTTGATCCTTGAAATCATTTTCTTGAATGAAACCTTGAGGCGTTGTGTAGACTGGGGCTAGGCTGGGTGTGAGGGGCCGCATCGTGAGCTGTCAGATGCCTGGGCCATGGGGTGAGAACAGCCTCCCTCTTTGCACTGGCCATCCCAGTATCCCCATCGGTCAGCCCCCTGAGCAGTTCAGGTGAAGCCCAGAACCTTGTCAACAGTAAGTTCCTGTCCACCGTTCTGGGCCTGCCCACTCCCCTTGGCTGTGGAGTGGGGCGTGTACCTGCGTGCTGTCCACGTCACTGAGTGTCCAGTGCTGTCAGCGAGAGGGGTGGCCTGGAACTGGGCGGGGCCCCCTTCCTCCCCTGCTCTGGGACCAGGCCCACTTGCGCTTCCCTTCCCAGACAACGACGCGGAGCAGGAAGAGGTGGCCCAGTCCCTGGGCCTGGTCAAGGATGTGATTGGAGCCGTGGACAGCAAAGTAGCGAGTTACGAGAAGAAGGTCCGACTCAACGAGATCTACATGAAGACAGATAGCAAGTCGATCATGAGGATGAAGAGTGGCCAGATGTTGGCCAAGGAGGACCTGAAGCGGAAGAAGTTGGTGCGGGACGGGAGTGTGTTTCTGAAGAGCGCGGCCGGGAGGCTGAAAGGTGAAGTTCCACCCCGGGGTGCGGCGGGTGGGCACCTTGGGAGCATGACCAGGGACCCCAGTGTCCCCACTTGTGTAATCTCACACAAAGTGGGGGGGGGGGCACGGCACTCACAGCGGCGGTGGCTCTATCTCTCCCGCTGCCCGCGTTCAGTAGTCTCACCCTTCTCCGCCCCGGGGAGGTCGATGGCGATGGTCAGGCGGAGGAAGGAACGAGGGCCAGGCTGGTTGGTATTAGTAGCAGTTTATTTCATTCCTCTCTCCATCTACACCAGTCTCTCTTGTCTGTCTCTGCTTCTGTCTCTGCTCTTTGTCTCTCCCTCCTCCCCCATGCTACTTCATTCTCCTCCATCCCCCTTCATCCTCCTTCTCTGGAGTCTGGGTTCTCATCTCTCTCCACCCCAGCCCACTCCTCCAGTCTAGTTAAATCCACTTTCCATGAGGAATTGGGGAAACAGTTACACATAGGTGCGGTCACAATCAATAGGGGTAGAAATCTTAGCCTCGGGGAAGGCCGCTCCTAGGACAGATCCTTCCTCAGCAGGAGGACCCACCCTAGAGCGGAATCCCAAGGGTGTGTCTCTCCTCTCCTTGTTGACAAGCATATAAGAATATATAATATAAACCATTTTGTATGGATACAGTAAGAACTATCTTAAACTTATAGAATTGCTCTCCTAGGGCCATCTCGATCTCAAGCTACAGTGCTCAGGCCAGATGGTCTTTCCCACCCCTAGCAGGATCCTAGTCTCGTCGTTACCTTTGGATCATGACAGCATTTGTCTATGATGAAACTCTTAACTTATAGTTAAGAATCATGGCACTTTGGCCTGGCCCATTTTGCTGCCAGGGTAGCTCACCGCTTGCCCTGGGTCCATTCAGTCCCTCGTCGGGACTCTGCTTTTGGGGTGTTAGGAACTAAGGGCAACTGAGGCTTAAGTCGAGAAAGCAGATGCCCGGGAGTGAATAATATTCAAAGCCAATCAAATCCTAAGTTACAAAACATAATGTTAACGGTCTTCCTGTATCTATACAAAAAGGATATTACTTTAAGGTAAACTGTTCATAAGGCATAAGGAGAGGAGAAAGGCAATATTTCACTCATACATATAAAATCATAGATTTCTGGGAAACTGATCTTACAAACTAACAAAGTCTGATTAAGGGGAAAGCTGATTAACTGGGTGGGAAGGAGAGCATAGGGAAGACTGTTTACAGATAAACACAATGGAAGTGGAAGTGCCTCGGAGCACTGTGATGGGTGTAACCAGATTGATGGGTGTAACCAGGTAAACCTAAGCTTCTTGTACTCCAACACCACCGATCGGAAAGTAAACCTTAAGGTCCCGGGCAGTTAAAACTTGCATCTCCGAGCTTTGCGGGGAAGGGTGGGCTGCTGAGTGTTGTCAGAGGAAACATGCCCTTGAGGGAGGGGCATACGGGATGATGGTGCAGGGCCTGCTCTGCTCTGTCCCACACACCTCAGATCAGGCTCCTATGTGCGGCTCTCTCTGGGCTTCCCCTGAGGGGGGCAGGAGGGAGAGGAAAAGGAGAAGGAAGAAGAGGCGGTGGCCTGGAGGAGGAGGAGGAAGAGGAGAAGGAGGAGGAGGCGGGAGGTGGTCTTCTTTCCCTAGCTGCTGTGCACGGGGTGCTGCTCTGGTTTGGGGGTGCAGGGTCTCCTTGGACTTGGGCTCTGCTGTGCTCCCTCCGGCAGTTCTTAGTGCTCTGCGGTCCCACCCCCAGTGCTGTGGTGGGAGCTGGGCAAAGTGCCTGTCTGAGACTCCCCTGCCTCCACACCCTGCGACCCGACAGGAGCCCGTAGGGGGCGGCTGCCATGGGTGTGGCCGAGGGTCTTCTGGGAAAGCTCTGACCGTCCCCTTCACCCTCCAGAGGTCCAGGCAGTCCTGCTCTCGGACATTCTGGTTTTCCTTCAAGAGAAAGACCAGAAGTACGTCTTTGCCTCGCTGGTAAGCCGGGCCCTGTTTGCGCCAGTGTGGGCAGTGGGCAGGGTGGGCGTGGTGAGCTTTTCCTCAGCTCAGAGCCCCTTGGAGCACCTTCGGCATTTGTCATGAAGCTGCTGTGGCACTAGGCTCGCATGCGTGCTTGGCTAGTGCCTGACGCTGGTCTAGAGCGGTGTGAAGAACCACCCAGAAACCCGGGGTCATGTGGAGCCCTTGAGTAGATTTGTGGTGGCCAGCAGGGCAACAAGAGCATTTCCTGTCCTCTGGCCGCCTTGATGGTTAGGCACAGAGAGCCCGTCTGCCTCAAATCCCGCATCCCCACCCCACCCCAGGTAGAACCCCTGGAACCCAGATCCTTGCCCCCCCAGAGTCAGGGCCCTGAGGCACACCAGATCCCAGGCCCCCAGACTTAGGGCCCTGGGGCACACCAGATCTCGGCCCCCCAGGGTTGGGGCCCCGGGCACACATCATATGGGCCGCCCTCCCCTCTCCTTTTCCCAGGACCAGAAGTCGACAGTGATTTCGTTAAAGAAGCTGATTGTCAGAGAAGTGGCCCACGAGGAGAAAGGGCTGTTTCTGATCAGCATGGGGGGGAAGGACCCAGAGATGGTAGAGGTGCACGCCAGCTCCAAGGAGGAGCGCAACAGCTGGATCCAGAGCATTCAGGACACGATCAACACCCTGTGAGTCTGCCCAGCCCCGCCCCCCCCCCCCCCCCCCCGCCCCAGACCGGCCCCAGGGGATTCCTCACCCCCCGCCCCCCCAAGGGAAGGGCTGACTATGTGGTGTCCCAGGAACAGGGATGAGGATGAGGGCGTTCCGAGCGAGAGTGAGGAAGAGAAGAGGCTGCTGGACACCAGAGCCCGCGAGCTGAAAGGTGAGGCTGCAGGCGTGGGCTGTGCTGTGCTGCAGGACAGGGCGTCGGGGTGGGGGGGGAGCAGTGGGGGACAGTGGGACCCAGAGGTGCTGACATTGAGAAGCTGCGTGTCGGCTCAGTACCCCGCTCCTTCCTCCCTGTGCCCTGCAGAGCAGCTGCAGCAGAAGGACCAGCAGATTCTGCTCTTGCTGGAGGAGAAGGAGATGATCTTCCGGGACATGGCGCTGCCGGAGGACAGCCCCCCGGGCCCCGGCCCCCGCACCCCCCTCTTCCGCTCCAACACGGAGGAGGCGCTCCGAGGAGCCCCGCTGATGAAGAGTGCCATCAGCGAAGGTGACTGGCCGTGCGCCCTCCTCCCTAGGAGGGGACAGTGTCCGCCGTGCCCTCCTGTGTCTCGGGCAGCCGCACACAGGTCATTTCCTCCCTGGTGGTGGGACACAGCCCCCAGAATGGAACCCCAGGTGTTCACTTCAGTGTGTGCCACCTGAGAAGCACCAGCCCAGGCCAGGTCGTCAAACCGCCCCCTCTGGCCTGCCCTCCTCAGAGCTCCCATCTGGGGCCCAGCTGCTCCCGCCTCCTGTGTCTGCTCAGGTGCCCCTGCACCAGCCCCTCCTTTTACGGGGGTTTGTCTTGGAGGCAGCTCAGAGTTGGGTTGTTCCTGGTAGTTTTTCTTCTGTCTTCCCTTCAGAGAGGCAGACGGAGTCCGCGGCTTGAACGGCCTGGCGCTTCCCTGCCCTCCTGTCAAGCCTGTTTCTGGGGCCTGTCGCTATTCCCGCTCCCAGGGACTCGCTGTCCTGGAGTGATTCTGTCTAGAGTGTGGCTGCTCCCAGCTGCCTTCCCGCTCCACCTGCCCTTGCCGCCTGCACACCCCACTCTCCGGCTCTCCTGTTGGGGCGTGGTGCCGGAGAGGGGCTCCCTCGTCTGAGGTCTGAGAACGCAGATGCTCGGGCTCCTGGCCCCCTCCTGGCCCCCTCTTCCGAGAAGCCGCTGCTTCCCTGGTTACCTGCTATCGGGGTGCCCCAGGGCTTCTGCCCCCTCTGCTGTCCTCAGAGGGAAGTCACCGTTTCCTGTCTCCTTTTCCCAGTGGAGGCCCTTCAGAGCCTGGTGAGCGGGAGCCTGGGTGGCTCCCTGGGACCAGCGGTCAGCAGCCCCGTGGAGCAGGATGGTGCGGTGGGCCCCGTGTCTCTGCCCAGGAGAGCAGAGACGTTCGGTGGCTTCGACAGCCATCAGATGAGCGCGTGTAAAGGTGAGCAGGTGCCCGGGGCGCGGGCACACTTGCTTGACCTCTGGGCTCGACCCCGGTGGCTTCCTGTCCTGCGGGCTCCCTGGGGGTGGGCACTCTGGGCCCCCTGAAACTGTGTGCTGTGGCCTTTCTTGGGTAACACTTAGAAAACAATGTTTGTGCAGGAGGTGAGAAGGACGAGGGGGAAGATGGCCAGGATCTCAGGAGGACAGAGTCGGACAGTGGCCTGAAGAAGGTTCGTGCCCAGCACCCTGACTCCTGCGGGTCTGTGCTTCTCCTGCTGCGGGCAGGTGGAGGGGCGCTGTGCTGCCCACGCCGTCCCCTCCGCCAGGCCCTCGAGCAGCCCAGTCCCCCCTCCCTCCCCACCCACAAGAAAGCAGCTTCACCTCAAGGTTTTGGCGAACGGGGCCTCTTCAGAGCAGCGTGTGGCCCGGTGCTGTGGCCGGGTGTCCAGTGCTTGGAGAAGCCCAGAGCTCCGTCCACATCTGTGGGGCCTGATCTCGGGACCGTGTGCCTTTGAGGCATGCGCTCCACTCCTGTTCTCGCCCCAGACTTCGGGGGCATTTCTCTTTTTCTTTAAATGGATTTGATGGACTTCTGTTGGTCTGTAGGTCTCTGGAACTTTGTGGGGGAGGACAGTGTCGCCCCTCTCTGTGTGTGCTCACTTTGACGCTGGCTTCCTGTTTGCTAGGGTGGAAACGCTAACCTGGTGTTCATGCTGAAGAGAAACAGTGAGGTAAGGGGCGGTGCTTTTGCACCACTGCCGCCCTGCTCGGCCGCGCCCGTCTCCCCTGCCCTTCTGTGCCTGCACCCCCCGGGATATGAATGGTGTCCCCAAAGGCGAGTGACCGTGTATCCCAGCCCCCAGAGAAACCTAGAAAGGAGCCTCTGTTGGAGAGGCCGCGGGCCGTGGGAACAGACGCTGGACGTGCTCCCGCTGGCCAGCAGGGAAGGTGGGCAGGCACGCTGCTAAGGGCTGACTGTGTCCCGGTGCTGGTGGCCTGGCACCTGCCCCTGGCGTTCTGCTGCTGCTGGTCTGGAGACAGACACTGGCCAGCCTGGTGCTGGCCGCCAGCCCGCGCTCTCGCTCATATCGCCCACTCTAGCCGCTCCTCATGTGGACCCCTGCTTCGCCCTCACTTCCCCGCTGCCCTCCGGGAGGGCTGCCCAGGCTCCCGCCCTCTCTACACTTTGGGCTGCTGTGGGATTTGGGACTCGGCCGGGGCACCAGTAGGGTCTTCAGTGCACATCCCCACACTCATGAGGCCTGTGCCCAACTGGCCCAACTGGCCTCATCCCCAACATCCCCACCCCCCGGATATTGTTATTATTACTATTATTATTGTTGTTATTTGCTTATTTGGGGGCCATGCCTGGCAGTGCCCAGGGCTTGCTCCAGGTTGTGCTCAGGGCGCACGCTCCTGGTGGTGCTCAGGGCTCAAGGGTCCACGCAGCACGGCAGCGCCTTAATCACTGGCCCCTGAATTATATTATCCTGGAATATTCTTTTTAAATTCGTGTTGTATTGATTTGATAAGTTCAGAGAGCCTCCGTTTTGTCGTTTACTTGATTTCAGTGAGGTTGAAACCTTTTTAATGGTTCGGTAGTCGGGCATTTGTATATCTTTGGTAAATTGCTTGTGTTCTTTTTTGTTTTTTGTTTTTTTGTGGGGACACACCTGACAGTGCTTGGCGGGGACCATGTGGTGACAGGCTGGAACCCGGGACCGCCACGTGCCTGGCACGCGCCTTCAGCGCTCTCTCCAGCCACACGCTTAGTTTTCCCTGCGTGTTCCTCTACTTCTTACTCGTCTGTGTGAGACTTGCTTTGACTTTGCTTTTGGGCCCCACACAGCTCGGTGCTTGGGAGCCGCTGCTGGTTCGGTGCTGGGGGTAGCTTCCAAGCGACCCTGCAGGGACCATCTGGTGCCAGGTGCAGACCAGGTCCCTTAGCCCAGCGCCCCACTTTTATGAGGGTGAGAGTTGGACTTTTGGTGGGCGGTTGTTTTCATTGATTCTGCCTGAAGATCTAAAAATGATTCAAAAAGAACATTGAACCTGGGGTCCATTCGCGTGGTCCTCTCTTCCCCAGCCCTCGTCTCTGCCAAGCCCGCTGACTTACGGTGGTTTCCGGGCCTCACCTTGCTGTTGGTGGGGTCCCCTCCTAGGGGTGGATGGGGTCTGGCCTCCAGCGTCCCCGCGTGCCGCTGTGGCGGCTTGTCTGGGGCCTGGCTCTGCTCTTGGTGCCATGCGGGGGCTTGTCCCCTCAGGCCACAGCCAGAGTGGGGGTCCCGACCACGGCCTCAGCTGACCACCCTCTCATCCCCGCTCTGCAGCAGGTGGTCCAGAGTGTCGCCCATCTCCACGAGCTGCTCAGCTCCCTGCAGGTAGGCACGCCCTCCCTCCTGGGTGGCGAGGGAGCACGGGGCGGAGAGGGGGCCTGGGGCCCGAGTCCCCTCCGTCTCTGGCGGGCCCCCTTCCCGCACCTCCCAGGGGCTGCCCTGCAGCACGGCCGACGCCCGCCTCTCCCCAGGGGGTGGTGCTGCAGCAGGACAGCTACATCGAGGACCAGAGGCTGCTGCTGAGCGAGCGGGTGCCCGCGCGGCACCCCACGCGGCCCAGCTCGCTGGCGGAGCAGGAGAAGCAGCGCAGCCTGGAGAAGCAGCGGCAGGAGCTGGCGGAGCTGCAGCGGCAGCAGGCGCAGCACCTGGACGAGCAGCGGCGGCGCGAGCGGCAGTGGGACGCCCGGGAGCGGGAGCTGCAGGAGCGGGAGGCGCGGCTGGCGCAGCGGGAGGACGAGGTGCGGCGCGGCCAGCGGGACCTGGAGCGCGAACGGGAGGCGCTGCAGCAGCGCCGTGGGGCCTACCAGGCCGAGCTGGAGCGGCTCCGGGCCGCGCAGAAGCAGCTGGAGCGCGAGCAGGAGCAGCTGAGGCGGGACACGGAACGCCTGGGACAGGTGCGCGGGGCCGGGGGTGGGGCGGCAGTGAGGGCCGTCCTGGTTCGGAGGCCCCGACGGCCGCTGACCCCCGCCTGCCCCACACAGGGCTCCCACTCGCACGCCAAGCTGCTGAGGATCCCGTCCTTCCTGCCCAACCCCGAGGAGCCCCCGCCGCCCTCCACACCGCCTGTAGCCAAGTCAGGCTCCCCGGACTCGGACCTCCCGGTGTCCCCCAAGAGGAATAGCCTCTCGCGGACACACAAGGACAAAGGGCCTTTCCACCTCCTGAGCTCTGCCAGCCAGACACACCGGCAGCCGGAGGGGCAGAGCCCCGCGCCAGCGGCCAGCTCCACGCGCCTCTTCGGCCTGGCCAAGACAAAGGACAAGAAGAAGGAGAAGAAGAAAGGCAGAGGCAACCGCGCTCAGTCCACTGGTGAGTGTCCCCCAGGGTCAAGGCCCCCGAGCCCGGGTGACCCCCACCTCCACCTTGCCTTGGCCGTGGGGCCCCCCAGGCCTGAGCCCCAGTGCTCTGGACTGGGCAGTAGAGCCAGTAGCGGGGACTGCTCAGGACCGGTGGGAACGGGGGGGCTGCCGGACACTCTGCCTGTCCTGGATTTCCTGTCTGGCCCTTTGCAGATGGCCCCGTGGCCGACGAGGCAGCGGAGGGTGAGGAGATCTTCTGCTGAGCTCCAGGAGCCCTGCCTGCCCGTGCCCGCCCTGCACGCCGTTGCCCGGGACCCAGCCTGGCATCACACGTCCGGGAAGGCGGGCCAGGGTCTTGGCTCGAAGAGGTTCCCGGTGAGGGCCGACATAGACTGCTCTAACTGGGGGGGACGGAAGCAAAGGCCCAGCGCTCGGCCATCTCCAGGCACTGCCAGTGACCCGCCTGCAGACACCGGGCAGACAGTGCCCACAGCCCTCCAGGCCAGGCCCTGTGCCCCTTCCCTCCCTTGGCACCTGGTCCCTTTAGGAGGGTGCTCGGTGGAGAACGTGTAGCCCGGTGAGCCCGCCTACCCGGGGGTGCCTCTTTTCCCTGTGGTGTGACACTTTTTGGTTGTCGCTGGCCACTGGGAAGTGACCGCAGCCTCCTGGCAGAGATCCTGACCCGGCCCATGGTGCCTGCCATGCTGACCCAAAGTGCTCCTGGCCAGGCCCGTGGCAGAACCCGGCTTCTAGAAGACTCTTTCAATCGGAAGGTCTCTTGTTATTACTTGTGCTCTGTCCAGGGCCACTGCCAGCACCCCTCTGCCCACCCACTCCTTTCTCCGCTGTGCGTCCTTGGTTGGCTCGAGGCCTGGACCCAGCTGGTCTGTGCAGGACAGGCCAGGGCACTTGTGTTCCTCCCCCAGGGAAGAGCCTGGAACTTTCTGTGCTTTAAATGTGACCTTTGGTTCCTGCTTTTCTGCCCTCACCAGCATGGATCTTTGAAGGTTCTTTTTAGACACAGAAAAGATCTACCCCCTGGTGCTTTGAAGGGCTGCAAGCTGGCCTTGCAGACAGAGACGTGCCCTGGTCTATTCGAGGTCTGGTTTCGTTGTTACCTTAGACTATTTATTGTGTGTGTGTATGTGTGTGTGTGTGTGTGTGTGTGTGTGTGCGCGCGCGCGCGGGCACTACTCCAGAGTGGACACGCTGCCCAGGGTTCTCCACCCCCAGTGCCATGCAGTGTGGGCAGCAGGAGACTGCGGAAGGTGCCCCTCCGGCTTGGGAGCGAAGAGTGCACCCCGGCGCTGCACTTGCCACGTGGGATTTGTGCCCTTCAGAACAAAGCCAGGGGGGCTGGAGGTGGGGCCCTGCTCCCCTGGCCCACTTGGATCCCCAGCCTCCGCCTCCTGCTGTGGGCTGGAACCAGCACTGATGCTGCTCTGGTTTGTTGAAGAAAGTGAGGTCCTCTCCACTCTTACCCTATAAGTTAAACTGTGGTCAGGGAATCGGAAGGTGTCTCTGAGACCCGTGTTCCCGCAGTGAGGCCGGGGCCACCTGCTCTGGAGACGTGGGGGCCGTTCTGCAAACCCAGGGGGATCTGGGCACCACCCCACAGGGCCCCCATGTTAGGAAGCCGCACCTCCAGCAAGCTCCGGTTCTGGGACAGAGCGAACCCTGGAGGTCACCCGTCAAGGGCTCTGCACCCTGGGTGGGAGGTGTACTTTCTCTGACCGCTTGGAGACAGTCACTGGTGGGTTGGCGGCTGCTGCTCTGAATGGTGGCAGGGGTGCCACGCTTCCCTGAGAACCCCTACCGGCCGGTCCCACAAGTCCCTGATCTTCTGATCCACCCGCTGTGGAGGGGCTCCGAGGAGTGCAGGTGCCTTGTTCTCAGGTGCACACCCTCCTCCCTCACGGCTGATTCTGTTGGCCTGTGGGGGCCACCCTGGCTTGGAGCAGGAGGTGGCAGCCTCCTACCTCTGCCTTTGTTCCCAGCACAGCCTGGGCGTGTATAATTATGTATAAAGTCAAGCAGTTTCTAAACTGTCCTGTTTGTCTATGTTTTCTGGAATCTCCCCCTGGCCTCTGGGCTTTGTCCGTTATTTATCTTCCTTTCCGGTCCCTGCTGCGGCTTCTGTAATGCCCCGGTCCTGGACAATAAAAGTCTGTCTGTCTGCAGTGTGTCCCGGCCTGTGTCTGTCTGCGCTGGCCTCGCTCCAGCAGAGCTTGTTTCTGTAGCTCTGGGGACAGGAGGTGAGTGGCTACCACTGTCCAACTGTGCCAGTGGGTGCCCCACACACACCCAGCCCCCGGGCCATGCTAAGGCCCACTCCGGGGACATGGCATGCCTGGGGATGGCTGGGGTGTAGAATAAGGCCACGAGGCCATGACGGGGAAGCCACTGGATTCGGACACCACTCAGGGTCACTGCACGGTCTCTGCGATGTACCCTGGGGCCGAGGAGGGAGAGGATGGCGGAGTGTCTACTTGACACTGGCTGCCTGAGTCCAGGTGGGTGCATCCCTGGTGTGTGTGTAGGTGTGCTTATGCCCCACCCCGTGGTTCCTGCACTTCCGAAAGACGCACCCTCCTGCCCGTGCCCCTTCCCTCCAACTTGGCGGGAGCCTCCTTGGCCCCGGCACCCCCAGCACAGAGTGGGGGGCATGGCTTAGGCAGCCAGAGAGCCACAAGCTCGTCAGCTCTGCTCACCACCTAAGTGAAGCACCAGGGAGGCAGGGGCCGTCTCAGCGCTTTATTGGGGGGTGGGGGGGCCAGGCCCACCATGCAGGGGGGCAGCTCCACGAGCCCTTGTGCTCTCAGTGTGTGCTTGTGCTCTCAGTGGGTCCTCCAGACCAGGACCCCTCGATTTCACTCACCCCGTGGGGGGTGCCCAGACATGCTCAGGGGCAGCATTGGCTACAGGCCAGTGACCTCAGGACCTAAAGAGGTGCCCGGGGCGGTTACTGATTCTCATAAAGCTGTCCATGAGTGCTCTAGGGGTGCTTGTTGGTGGGGTGCTCAGGTTGAAGGCCCAGGCCCCAAGGGGCGGCTGCTTCTGGAGCTCCTGGCCGGCTAGGGGCCCCCAACTCTGGACAGGACGTCACTGTAGGGGCACCAGGAGCCCCTGCACCACTGGGGTGAGTGGGCTCGGCCGTGAGTTGTTTACCTCGGAACCTGAGGTTGGTCGCCTGCTGGGTGAGGGGAGATGGGGCTGGCCTGGAAAGCCTGCTGTCACTCAGCCTCCAGCCAGGCGCAGGGAATCCCACCACTCAAACCCTTGTGGAAGGTCACGGAGGTCAACCAGTTGCCACCCTTTTTGCCCAGCTGGGCCCAGATGCAGGCATCTACACGTGCTGCAGGTGGCCGGGCTTCAAGCTGTGTCACCAGCTAACCATCCCCTTAGGCAGCCAGGTCACTTGTTCTGTCTACAGGCAGGGGCAGCTGAGCCAACAGGGTCCTGGGGGCACGGCTCAAGCGGGCAGGTGGCGCCAGGTGCTGACAAAGGCTGTGGGAATGAGCGAGTAGGGCACAGTGGTGACGCAGTTCCACGTGTCCGAGGTGGGGTCGTAGCAGTCCAGCGTCTTGCACCGCTGGGTCCCGAAGTAGCCGCCCACCACGTAGAGCTTGTTGCCCGAGGCCAGGGCATGGCAGGACATGCGCTTGGCCGTCATGTCCCCAACACGCGTCCACTGGTCCGTGTCGCAGTCGAAGCGGTAGGCAGCGGCGGCGGTGAACTCGGTGTCTCCGCCCAAGATGAAGATCTGGCTGCCCAGCACGGCAGCTGCCGTGTAGCGCCAGGGCTGCGGGCACTCGGCCCGGATGGCCCAGCGATTCTCACCTGGGTCGTAGCACTGCACCCTGGACACCAGGTCGCGGTGGATGCTGGTGCCCCCAAAGACGAAGAGCTTCAGCTTGGCACTGACCACGGCTGCATTGCTGACGCCGTCCCTCAGCGGGGCCACCATTGCCCACTTGTTGGCCGCCGGATCGTAGCGCTCCACCTGCTTCAGGGACACGGACGGCGAGGCGGGGAAGACCCCGGCCAGGGACGTGTGGCCACCCACCACGTACAGGCAGTTCTCCAGCTCGGCCGAGCCGTGGCCAAAGCGGGCGATGAGCATGGGCGCCGCCTTGGACCACTCCTCGCGCACCGTGTCGTACACCCACACGTCCTTGGAGACCCCGTTCTCGGACCCGCGGCCACCCGTCACATACACACGGCAGCCGATGGCCGAGGCGCTGAACTCCTTGCGGGGGCTGGGCAGGTCGGCCTTGGGCACGATCTCCTTGGCCCTCTGGTCCACCTGGTAGATCTTGTCGCACATGAAGGTCTGGCCGCCCAGGATGAGCAGCGTGTGGCCGGCCTTGCGGGGCCGGGCGCAGGGGCTGCTGACCACGCCGCCGTGCTGCAGGATGCGGCTTTTGCAGCGCAGGGCCTCGTCGATGAGCAGCTGGGCGCCCGCGTCGGCCAGCAGCGGGGCCTCGCGGGCCACGGCGTCCCGCAGGCAGTCGGCCGGCAGCAGGGCCAGGCGCACGCTCTGCAGGAGCTCCAGCAGGTGGGCCTGGCGGGCCTCGGGCTCGTGCCGCACCCACTGCAGGATGGCCTCAAAGACCGTGCGCTCGTCCTCCGTCTCCAGCTCGTCGCTGGATACGAGGGCCCGCAGCGTGTCCTTGGAGAGGCTGGCGAAGGCCTCGCTGCGCCGCACGGCCTCAAAGTGGCCCAGGCACACGCGCCACGAGGACTCGCGGAGCCGGCGGCACTGGTGGGCGTCGGCCAGCATTAGCATCGCCAGGCAGTTGGCCGGCGCCAGCTGCTTCTCCAGGAAGGCGGCCGCCGCGTCGCGCACGTCGGGGAACTGCAGCATGTCGCCCGCCTCCAGCAGCGACTCGGCGTTCTCCTCGTGGATGGCCACGCGCGAGGTGTAGGCGTAGTCCAGCAGCAGCTCCAGCACCTCAGGGTGCAGGCTGTCCCGGAAGTGCACGGCCTCGTCGCGGCTCTCACGCAGCCCGTGGCTGAACATGGCCTCGAAGTAGCGGCTGGAGGCGGCCAGCACGGCGCGGTGGCAGGGGAAGGCGCGCTCACCCGCCCACAGCGTCACGTCCGTGAACATGCCGTGCTGCCGCAGCGTGTTGAGCTGGGCCAGCACGCACTCGGGGTGCGAGGCCTTGTGGAACAGGGTGACGCCCAGGGCGCCCGTGCTGCCTCGGGACTTGCGGGTCTCGTGGACACTCAACGACATGCCGTGCTCACCTGCGGGGACAAGCACCGCACCGTGAGACGGACGGAAGGACGCTCAGACCCAGCCGTGCCCTCCCCCACCTCCCTTCGCTCGGCTGGGTCCGGGTCCAGCGCTGGGCAGCAGTTCTCTGGCCACTGACCTTGGGGTGGTGGCAGCCTGGACCCTGACCTGCATCCGGCCCAGGGGCTCTGGCGGACACTGCTCCGACAGCCTGAGCCCACGGGGGCAAAAAGCAGGGCCTGCTGAGTGGGTGTGGCCAGAACGATGGGGTCCACTGGACGAGCACCCTGCTGCAGGGTGGCCTCATAGCTAGGAGTCTGGATCCACTTAATCAGCCTGGACACCTCGGGGCTCCCTGGAGTGGGGTGGGGTGGAGGCGCCTGCAGGGAGAGGGGAGGGTGCTGACCCCGCCCAGGCCCCGCTCGCCTCCATGCCCTGGCAGGCTGGCCACTGGTTATCTCAGGTGAATGTGGAGGTGCCCCCCACCCCCCCATGGCCCAGCTGCCCAATCTCCATATCCCTTTCTCCACTTCAGCTGCATGTGCTCAGCCCTTATCCCCCTTCAGGCCCCCTGCAGTGTCCGGCCGCTGGGCCCTGATCTCTGGCCAGCATGGCCTCTGCCCCATTCCTGAGTGCTTGGCCCACGCCTTCTCTGAAACCTTCTGGGAGCCAGGCCAGGGCCGAGCCTACAAGGGGCATGACCCCCACCCCCCATGCTAGGCAGGATGCCAACTCGAGCTCCTTAGCTAAGGCCAGTGTTGGGGGGGGGGATCAGTGCCTACTCCCTGGGGGCTGCCCACTGGGCCTGTGTCCCCACCATCCCCGACACATGGAGAATCTAGTGCCACCGGGGTCAGGCCAGCTGGAAGGAGGCAGATCAGGCAAGCCCGGAGAGAGGGTTGGGGGTACAGGGAGTGCACAGGCTTCAGGCTGGGGGAACAAGAGGGCCCAGACCTGGTGTCCCTCGGCCTTGGTCATCTGAACTCAGAAGGCCTTGCACCCTCTAGCCACTGTGAATGGCTGCTAGCCAGTATCCCAGGGACATACGCCACTGACCCCTCAATCTCTATCCCCAGCCAAGCGCCAGTGAAGTTCCTGCCAACTCTGGGCTATAGAGCTAAGGCCAAAGATCATGCCAGGTCTTATCTACAGGCCGCACACTCGACCAAGGTTCAGGCAGAGCCACGGGGCCGCCCCCGCCACCCCCAAACACACACAGCCCATCCACTGGGACAGGGTGCACAGCGGGCCCGGAAGGGGGTGCCGAGGAGGCTGGCCCAGTGAGCCAGGTCCTGGGTCTGATGTCGGCACAAGCACGGGAATGCTGTGGGCCGGGCTGCTGTGCCCAGACAGTGGCCGGGGTCCACAGGGAGGTGGCACCACCCGTTCCCACATTTGGCTTAGAGCCTGTGCTCATCCCTGTGGTGGCTTGGCATTGCCCCTCAGGGCCCCTGTGGACCCAGCACCTACCTCTTGGTCCGGAAGCGGCCCAGCCTTAGTGGAGGCCGGGAAGGGGTGAGGGGTGAGGGGGAAGGCAGCCTCCAGCCCAGCCCAGGCTATCATATTATTGGGGTGGGGGATGCCACTTGGCTCAGCACTTCTGAGAGCGGCCAGCGCCATATCCAGCAGTGCTGGGGGCCCGCGGGCGGGGAGCAAACCCAGGCTCAGCCATTAGGGGCCTCCCCATCCTTACCCCTCCCCCCCCCCACGTCTCCATCGTGTCCATGGCCAACCTGCCTCTGTGGGGCCTGCAGGCTCTCCTGGGAGAAGAGCCAGAGCCTCCTGTCAAGGTTCTGTTTACCAAGTTGAGCCCCATGGGACCATGAAGATTCTTCCAGTGGCAGGAAGCGGGGGGCAGGGCCCCCCTCTGAACCCCTCGGGGCTGCCGGATTCTGGCTACAGCCCCAGGAGTGCCTCTGAGTGTGGCCGATCCGGAAAGCAGCCATGGGGAAGTCCCCGTGGAAGTCCCCTGTGTGGCCCTCCCTGGCCAGGGCAGGAACAAAGGGGCAGGAGGACACTCCCACCCAATGGGGTCCTGGTGCCCATGGACAAGCCTGCTCCCAGAGGGGCTGAGGGTGCCTCTGGTGTCCAGGGGGGCAGGCAGACCTGAGCATTCTCAACGCCAAGCACAACCACAGCCCAGGGGAGGGTCATGCCACAGGAGCTAAACCACAGTCCTGTCCACCCCGACTCCTGGGGCCAGCCCAGCACAGGCAGGACAGGAGAAGCCCAGAGCAGAACCGACCTATCTGTCTGTTTCCTCATCTGTGTCTGTGTGTCTGTCTCCACATCTGTCTGTTTCCATGTTGTGTGTCTGTCTCCTCATTCTGTCTGTCTGTTTCCCATCTGTCTCTATCTGTGTCTGTCTCCCCATCTGTCTCTGTCTGTGTGTCTGTCTCCCCATCTGTTTCTGTTTCCCCATCTGTGTCTGTGTGTCTGTCTCCCCATCTGTTTCTGTCTGTCTTGTTTCCAGGTCTGTATGTCTGTCTCCCCATCTGTCTGTCTGTTTCCCATCTGTCTCTGTGTCTGTGTCGGTCTCCCCATCTGTTTCTGTCTGTCTGTATATTTCCGTGTCTGTCTGTGCCTCCCTCCCGCATCTGTCTCTGTGTATCTCTCCATCTGTCTCTGTTTCTGTCCTGTCTCTGCCTATCACACCGCCAGGCTCCTGTGCTCCCTGCGTCCAGCTGGGAGGACCCCACTGCCTCCTGTGTGACCTGCCGGACCCACAGCCCACACAGAGACTCACTGACCAGCGGCAGGCATAGGAACTGGGGTGAGTGGCCAGGTGTGGGGGGTGGAGCTGGGAACTTCCCTTGCACACATCCTGCCAGCACCGCCCCCCCCCCCCCCCGGTCCTGCAGCCACTCGGAGTGGGCAAGGGGACCCTGGCCCTGGCCAGAGCTGCACGTATGGGCAACGGCCGGGCTCTCCAGTGCCCCCGGGCAGCCCGGGCCGAATCGATGTGGTCCCATTGCAGCTCAGCTCAGCTCCGATGCTCCTCCCTGGTGCGGAGGACGGGGCCCGGCCAGAGCCAGCAGAGCCTGGGCAGGTCCCCAGTTTTCTTTAATTTTTAATTAGCATTTAAATTATTAACTTTGTTTGGGGGCTCCCAGGGGGCCTGGGGGCCACTCCCAAAGATACCCCATCAGCTGGGCCTGCTGGTTCAATGCCAGGGCCTGGGACCCGGCCCCCCCTTGGCCCTGGTGGGGACTGGGGGGAAGTGGCTGGTGGGCCCTGGGCTCCAGCAAGTCTGATCTGAGGGTTCTTGTCTTGCTGGAACTGCTCCTGGGGCCCAGAGTGACCTCACGCTGCCTGGATGAGCGTCTCAGGGAAGGATGCAGGGCAGGGAGTGTCAGGGGATGGACTGGAGCCAACAGGCAGGGCAGAGAGTGGGCACCTTGGCCCCCAGCTGCTCCTCTCGGGGTTCCAGGGCAGCCCTGGCACCGTCCCCACGTCTGACTGCCCCCAAGCAGCTGGCCCCTTCTCGTGCTGCCCCAAAGCCCTGTCACTCAGGTGACAGAGGGGCACTCGAATGTTCGGGAGGGCCCTGGATCAGCGCAGAGCAGCCAGAGCCATTTTCCACAAACAGGCCTCCCTCTGGCCTCAGGTGCATCCTGGGAGCCCCCCTTACCCCCACCCCCCAACACCCGCAGGACAGGGCACTAGCCAAGAGCAAGCTCTGCTTTCTGGCCTTCTGACACAAACTGGCCCTTAGGAATGGCCCCGGGTCCTCCCGAACCACTAGCTGGCCAAACCCTCCTAATTGCAGCTTCCAGAAAAATGTCCTGGCCTGAACGTATAAAAATAGCAACTGTGCTTGTCAGGCCCTGTCAGGCCCGCTCTTGTGCGTGCCCAGGGGGTCCCCTCCCACCCCTCTGGGGGTCCTACCGGCCCCTGTTTGCCTCTAAGCAATGAGAAGGTGCTTTCCTGGGGAGGGGGTTGCAGCCCACAGTGGTCTTGCCTCCAGCCACCTCTGGACTCAGCACCATGTGCTGGCCCTGGGGCCCCCTGAGCCCTGCTGGGGAGACCCAACCGTTTTTTGAAAACTTAAAAAAAAAAAAATTTAAAAAAAGAAGCATTTGGGGCAGAAGCAACAGCATGGCGGGGAGGGCCCTTGCTTTGCATGTGGCCAACTTGGGTTGGATCCCTGGCAGCCCACAGGGTCCCCTGAGCACCACCAGGGGTGGCCCCCAAACAAAATGAATAAAGAGGCACTGGGCACCTGCTGTGCAGACGTGTGCCCACCTCCTCCACTTGATGGGGAAACTGAGGCAGGCCACGCGCCCCACAAACCTGCTCCCTCCTATGCCACCTGGCAGCCGGGGCCCCTGACGGCCTTCCCCTCCCCTCCCTGGCACAGCCACCCACCCGACCGGTCTCGCAGGAGCTCCCTGGCAAAGTGGGTGCAGCGGGCAGGTGCCTGGTCTTACAACTCCTGCTATGCCCAGGGGGTAACCTGCATGCCAGGTGCCGCCCCAGCAGCCTTCCACATTCCCGGGGCTCTCCCCCGCTCAGGACAGCAGAGGGAGCCGACACTGTCCCACTGGGCCTACTGGGTGGCAGCTGTCACCCTTCCGGCCACGAGGGCCAGCAAACAGTGCAAACCTGTAACCTGGGAAACTTCATGCGCCCCTCTGAATCCGACAGAAGCTCTAAAGGTCATGCAGACGCAAGTGTAGCCCTTCGCTGGGAACCCGAGGACGCCCTGAGAGAGCTGAGGGTCTGGACAGCGACAGTGGCCAGGGTGAGTGAGGGGAGGGCCTGGAGGAAGCACCAGTTCAAGCCCAGCTAAGCCTCCTGGGAGAGGCCAGCCCTGGGCCCGGCAATTCCAAGACCGACAGAATGATTCGGAGGAAGACTCAGAGGAAGGGAAGGAGGTGGAGGAGGAGGAGGGAAAGGGGAAGGAAACGAAATACTCAAGCAATTATCTGTCCCGCCCCACCTCCCTGGCCTCTGGCATCCCGTCCGTACTTCGGGCCAGTGGGGTGCACTCCCAGGAGCCCTGGGCACAGACTCTGCACCAGAAGCCAGCCTGGTCCTGGGGCTCCCTGAAGGCTCAGGTGGGCATAGACAGTCATCAGAGGATGGACGAGAGAGTGAGGCTGACACTCCCCAAACACAGCCGCCTGCAGACCCTGCGGATGACAGATGGGAAGCAACAGCCAGCCCCCCCCCACCCCAGGGGCTGAGACCTGGGGTTCTGGGGCCCCTCCTTTCCCTCCGCTGGGGTCCTGGCTACCACCTCGTGTCCCACTTCCTGACCAAGCCTGAGGATACTCAAGCCTGAGGATCGGGGCAGGGAGCCCGCCCTGTCCCCACCAGGGATGCAGCTGATAAAAGTTTAGACTCAGGCCTCCTCTCCGGGCACTGCCAGCTCCCCTCCTCACTTTGCTTCCCCAAAGTGAGAGTGAAAGCAAAAGCCTCAGGCACCTGCCCAATGGACTTGCTCAACTGACCGAAGCTCCCAGCACCCCCCCCCCCGCCCCCCGCCCCCTCGGCCTCTGGGGGGATTGGGGGGCTCTTGGGGGGATCTGAAACCAGAGCATGAAAGGGCCTCGCTCCCCAGCAACGGACAGGGCGGTGGAGGGTCTGCAGCGGGGGTCAGTGGCCTCCCAGCGCGACCTCTGACCTCTCCGCGCTGCAATCAGAGACCCGAAGACCCCCGCTGGCCCCGGGATGAAAGGCGGCCGGTGGCCCAGGGCTGGACACCAGGTCTGGGCGACGGGGCACAGAGCGAGCCCCTGCGGGCAGGGCCTCCCTCTAGCGGATCTTCCAAGACCGGGGGGCCGGCCCCGCGCCACGTCCACCTACAAGGCTGACCGCCCCCTCGTTCCCAGACCCTCCCCGGGTCCCTGATGGCCCCGGGCCCCCGCTGTCCAGGGGGTCGGCCTTGGGGGTGCTGCCCCTCCACCGCGGACACCCCACTCTCCCCGGGGCGCGCAGGGTCCCTCGCCGGTGTCCAGGGCGCCGCGGTCGCGCCCCCCGCCCGGGCCCTGGACACTCACCGCTCGGGCGCCGCCGCCCGCAGCTACTGCTCCGGGTTCGCCGCCGCGATCGCGGCTCGTCCTGCCTCGGCTCCTGGCGCCCCCCGCGACCCCCTCGGCCCCCGAGCCGACTCCCGCCGTCCCCGGCCGCCCGGCCGCCGCCGTCCACCGGCGCCGCCAACAAACTAGTTTCTCCGGCCTTCCCGCTCCGCCTCCCGGGCCCCAGCACGGCGGCCAATCAGAGCCCGCGTTGCCGTGACGGACGGGCGGCCGAGCCCGTCGCGGCTCCCGCAGGCGGGAAAGGGGCGGGAGCTCGCGCCGTGCGGTGGGGGGGTGGAGCGCGGAGGGGGTGAGCGCGGAGGGCCGATTCTTAAAGGGGCCGCTCCAGCCAGCTAGGTGAGAGGGTGGGCGGGGGCGGGGGGCGGAGGAAGGGAACCGAGTGGAACCCGAGGCTTGAGGCTTTGCGATGGAGCGAACGGCCGATCGCACTCCTGGATCCGGTCTGCGGAGTCGCAGGTCGGGTTGCAACAGTGTTGCGGGCGCCCTTTCTGGTTTACTCCCGGCTCGCTCGGTGTGGGCAACGCTTTGCAGACACGGAACCCCGTCTGGTCTGAGAAAGCGTGTTTTTAAGCTCCCCCGTTATGTCCCGGGAAGGGAGTTTCGCTCGCACACTGACCAGACCAGACGCCAGGATGCAAATGCCAGGAAATGCAAGGCCCCTTCATTGCTGGCTCCAGCTGGGGTCCAAGTCTCATCCAACACAGGGGAGTCTTGACAAGGACCCCCCCCACCCCACTCCGAATTGTGAAGAGCTGATGTAGGGTTTGGTTACATAACAACATTTTTTCCCTAGGAACTGGCAGTATGTTTGCAATTCTGGTCCCAGTCCTGTCCCTGACTCCACTTCCTCGGCCCTCTCTACTTGGCTGGGTGCCACTGCCCATGCCCCCTATTTTGATAGGCTGTTGCCAGGGGTCGGTCTATCTCCCCAGGATGGTACTGTTTTCTGAGAAGTCTGGGCTTTCTGATAGGGGAAACTGAAACTTAGGCCTGCTGAGTTTCTGTCCCAAAGTGGAGCCAGTCCCTTCATTCACCTGCCCTCCGTCCATTCATCCCACAGACATTTCCCGGATGCCTGCTTCAGGCCCCGGTCCGTCTGCTGTTTGTGCTCTGGCCTTTCTGGGTTTGACCCACATTCCCATGTATGCAATTTCCTGGTCTGCTTGTCGGCAGGCAGAAAGCCTTCTTCGGATTGTTTGTGGAATGGAAAGTGGCAAACTCCTTTGACAGAGGGTGTGATAAGTTCCCTTTCTTTGTTCCCTCCTACTGAAATCAGCAAATTTGGAGAGGTCACTTAAGGACACAGTTGCGGCAAAGTATGGAAGTGATAAGAATTCTGCCTGTCGAGTGTGGGGTAGGCACCCAGGGCACAAAGGGCCCTTGGTGAGCAGTGCAGGACCTGGGGGGCAGGGGGCAGAGAGTGGGAAGAAGGTGAAGTCCTGGCAGATGGAAGCTGGAAGACCAGACTCAGGAGGAAATCAGTTCCTTGCTCCTTTCTCTGTCCGGTAGACTTGATCCTGTGTCCAAGCAGAGTCTTGGTTGCAAGGGATGACAGGAGAGAGATGGAGCAGAGACCACCAGGAAAGAGTTATTTGTGGGGGTAGGGGGACGCGGGGTGATAATTCAGAGTAAAAGAACGCAACGTGCAATCAGGTTCGGATCCCTCTCTGTTTCCTAGAGCCTGAGAAAAACGTTCCGTGAGCTTGGGTTCTAGAACCTGTCCTGCAGGGCTGTTGTCAAGATTGCATAAGAGTGAATTGGTTTGTGCACTGTTTGACTCAGGTCAGGAAATGTTTAAAAGATGAGAGGGGTTTTTGGTTGTTGTTTTTGTTTTTGTTTTTATTTGGCTTTTCTCTCTTCCAACGGAGCGCAAGGCTTACTCCTGGCACTGTACTCAGTAATCATGCACTCAGACTCAGTGGGTCTCAGGGGACCATACGTGGCGCTGGGTCGACTGCATTCAAAGTGAGCACCCGACCCACACTCTTTCCAACTCAACATGAGAGTTTGTGTGTGTGTGTGTGTGTGTGTGTGTGTGTGTGTGTGTGTGTGGAGGGGGAGGGGTGTGGCATACCAGCCAGGGCTTACTCCTGGCTGTGCTCAGAGATCACGCCTGGTGCTACTTGGTGGACTATATGTTGTACTGGGGATAGAATGCGAGTCGGCCCCATGCAAGACAAACATTTTCAGTCCTTACTATGTCTCTGGAGCGATAGCACAGTGGTAGGGTGTTTGCCTTGCACGCAGCCAACATGGCCGACCCGAGTTCGATTCCTCTGCCCCTCTCAGAGAGCCCGGCAAGCTACCGAGAGTATTCGATATGCCAGACACAGTAACAACAAAGTCTCCAATGGAGACGTTACTGGGCCAGCTCGAGCAAATCGATGAACAGGAGGGAAAAAAAAAAAAAAAACCTTGTCTCTGATGAAAGTTTTATATTTAAGAGGTCAGAAGTGAGGAGTTGGCCAAGTGTGCTCTCAGGGTGCCTCCAGAGGAAAGAGTAATAGGTCCATTAAGGAGACGACCCCATCGTGTGGGCCACGTTCCTATCCATGCTGCCAGTTTTGTCACGCTGGAGTATTTATGTAATTGCTAGTTGGATGAAGCCCTACATGCAAAATCGATTCTTCGCAAGTTCTTACCCGTTGCTGAGGGTTCTGTCTGGTGAGTGCCAAGCATCCACAGTCTGGGCCGCGACAGGGCTTTCTCCCTCCTCGAATCCAGGCATAAATTAGTGCCGTGATACGTGAAAAACCAAAGCAAGGCTGTGCAAGGAACGCAGAACAGGGGCAGGCATCGGGATTGCGATTTGATTTGGAAAGAGAATGGGGAGGAAGCTTGCCATGCCATCTGGCTGGGTCTCAGAGAGCTTGGCGTCAGAGGGGGCATCAGTTATGATCACATGGCCCATAAAAACAGGACCTCAATCACGGATAGTCACGTGAACTCACAGGCCCTTGATCATGTCCATGATCATGTGTGCTCACAGACCCACGACCATGCCACAGTCACGTGTGCTCACAGGCCCATAATCACGTCCATGATCACATGTGCTCACAGCAAAGCCTGAGCACTTGGCCAGGAGCATAGTGTGATATAGGCACTGGGTCCACAGGCAGGGTGGGCAGCTGTCCTGTGGGCACTGTGGCCTGGCCTCTCTGGTCTGGTGCCTTTGCAGCCCACATTCTGGGGCCCTGTGGTCCCAGTGCCCTCTGCCTCCGGCACCTCACAAACCCAGAGCACTCTGCTCCCTGGGCCTCTGCAGGAGACCGACTCCATCTGGTTTGTTCCAACATCACTTATCCCCTTCCCCACTGCAGACATCAACCGGCCTGAAAACTCAAGCCTCTGGGGGAGCGATAGGACAGCCAGGAGGACACTGGCCTTGCATGTGGCTGACCCGGGTTTGATCCCCAGCACCCCAATTGGTCCCTGAGCACCACTAGGAGTCATTCCTGAGTGCAGAGCTGGAGTAAGCCCTGAGCATCATGGGGTGTGGCCAGAAAGCAAACAAACAAAAATAACAAAAATGGATACAACAACATCAACAACGAAACTCAAGCTAGGAGGCTACCAGAGAGATGTGACGTTGATGGGAGTTCCCACAAGGGGGCGCTGCTGGGCAGTGAGCGCTAAGCACGTTGGCGTCACTCGCTGCAGCCAGAAAAACCAGGCTGAAGTGCAGCGGGCAGAGCCGGGGACACATTGGAGGCCTTGGGGACTGCCCAGGTATGCACGTCACAGAGCCTCTGTCCTGCCTGCAGAGTTGTTTGTCTGGACCACACACTTGCAAAGTGCGCACTCTCTGCGCTCACCAAGAGTCCAAGATGCTGGCACAAGACAGACGGTCACCAAAATGCAGCAAGATGGGAACCGTAAGTGGGGCCTGGGGGCAGCTCCTGTGCCCTCCTTTCCGCCCTGCATAGTGGCCTGCTGCCTTCCTGTTCCCTCCCTGGGTCCCCTCTCTTGTGACCTCTGGGAGCAGTTGCCACCCATGGGCCCCTGGTTTGGGCAAGGGGACAGGCTAAGACCTTTGGTCTTAACTGGATCTTCGTCCTGCTCCCCCCCACCCACACCACGACCCTCTGAATGCCCCGGGCTTCTGCTCTAGGGCACATTTGCCCCAAGACATACCAACACCTCTAATCAGTTCTCAGTTCCTGATGGGGCCCACTTGTCCTGGAGCACCCCAGCTCTGCACCAATCCTCGTAGGCAGGCAGCTTCTCAGGGCACAGCTTGTGAGTGCTCTGAGAAGTTTCCAGGCCTGGGGTGAGCCCAGGTTGCCCTGCACAGTGCTCTCTGGCTGTGCCCTGCAGCCTTTCCTGGGCGGCTTCTGTGACTCTGGCCTCTGCTCCCCGACACACTGTGAACACAAATCAACTTCTCTTCTGATCCTCTGAGTTTGTGTCAGCACCGCCCCCCACCCCCAACCACCACCAAACTCTCGCTCCCTGACCTCTTTGTTTGAGCTCTGAGGTGACTCCAGTGCCTGGCGGGACCCCTTAGACTTTGAATCAAGGAGAGTGGGGATTATGAGAGCCCCAGGCCCTCACATGTTTTCATGCAGTATTTGTTTGTTTGGGGGCCATGCCCGGCAGTGCTCGGGGCTTCCTCCTGCATCTCCTTGCAGGGTCACTCCTGGAGGGGCCGAGGATTGAGCCCTACTTGCTGTACCACCCCCTCCAGTCCACAAGCATCCTGTTTTTAAAAAATCAAAATTTTTGTGAATGACAGGACTGGAGTTATAGCACAGCGGGTAGGGCATTTACCTTGTACACGGCCGACCTGGGTTCAATTCCCAGCATCCCATATGGTCCCCTGAGCACCGCCAAGAGTAATTCCTGAGTGCAGAGCCAGGAGGAACCCCTGTGCATTGCTGGGTGTGACCCAAAAAGAAAAAAAATTTTCCTTTTTGTGCGAACGATTCATGCTGAACTATGAGCCGTTTTCAAGACCAGCCTCCATCTGAGGTTCCTTCTCCCTCCAGTGCTCCCCCGCGGCTCGGCAAAACTTGGCTGGTGTTTCTCTTG